TATAAATAAGATGCTTTAGTTTTAATTTCGTAATCTAAAATAGTTAGATATTAAGAGAATAATTAAATGAATAAATTATTAAAATGATATAATTAAATTTTGAGTTAAGTTTTGAATAAAAATTTTTTGATAATTTCTCTCATTCAAAAAATCTCACAACAAATATTTATTTGTTAGTGAATTAAGTTTGAAATAAATTATTTTAAATTAAATCAAATAAATAAATAATTATTTATTTTTATTTTTATTTATTTTGAATTTACTCTATTTTATATATAAATGCTATGCGTATTGTTATTTTTCTAACAGAATCGTGTGATCGAGTCAAAATGACCTGACTTGGAAAGTCATATCCTGAACCGACGACCCGAGCTCACATTGCATGTTGACTGTCGATGTCCGAACGACACATCAACTGAGTCATATATTTCTTAGATGGATTTGTTGTACCGTCAAAATTGAGATAAGTTTCGATAAATCATGTCAGCCTATTACATCAATTCAACCTCAATGACCAAAATATTTTTACCCTTCTACTCAATCATTCTCTGTAATGAAAAAATGATTTTACAAAATGCTCCCAATAATCATTGCTTGGGTTTAGTTGAATTCAAGTTTCACATTCAAATTTCACCATGTAAACACCAAGGCTACTGAAACACTTGGTAAACTACGTTCTCTTCCTTGACTCTCAATTAGAATGGAACCATTGCTTGGATTCTCCATCATTACTTGTCCAAGAAAGTCTCCGGCTATCACTGGCTCCCCGGTGCCACCAACGTCCACTCCAGGCTAGACAATAACTTAACAGGTATTAAAAGATATTAGGCAAAATCTTAACCAACCACCAAATATTTAATCCTGTCTGCCTGCGTTAGGCACACCTAATTTTGCATTCATCATGTTAATTATGGATTATCATCACAAAGAATGTCAAACCATTGATAGTTTCATCAATATTCATGCTTTATTATTATATTTGGTATGCAGATTTCAGGTTGAAACTTGACGTTTCATTGAATACTTCACTTATTTGTCAAAAAAAAAAATCAAAATTTAAATAATAATATTTAAAATTTTAATATTTTATTAATAAATTACATGAAGTCGACAAAGTCCATTCCTAATATCAGCAAGTTGCAAATTCCCACTTTTCTAATTCTACTTGGGCTTTGGCATACTATTAAAAAAATCTTCATCTCATTTTTAATGAAAAAATTAACTAAAATATCATGTTAAACTACATAGATTATGAGTTTGAATTCGAAATTTTTTATTCTATAGTCGATTCTAGTATACTAAACTAATGTCAAGAAAATAAAAAATAAAAAATGATATGATATAGAAAAATAATGGTAGCATCAGCTTTATTGTAATTTGGGTATAATTTCCATGATAAAAATTAATGCATTTTTTTTATAATTTAAGAAGAAAGTTAATATATTATTTAGAGTTCATCTTTTTATATAATTTCATTGAATTTTTTAATTTTATAAACAAATTTAAAAGATTGGCATTTGTTTCACTTTTTTAATTAATTTTTTTTATTTTTTTAGTATACACTAATGGATATATATTATCTAATTAATCTTATTTATAAAATTTGAAAACTTTATTGAAAATAAATATGATAATTTAAAATATGACATCAACACGATACGAAAATAGAATATAAAAGTAACATAATTTAAAATTTCAATATTGATTATATATAAATCTAACAAAATCAAAAAATATATTTTATGTTTTTATATCAATATAAATTATAATATGTAATTTTTATATAAAATATAATATAAATATATAAATTTTAATATTTTATATAATAAAAATATACGAATTGCTAAACCTACCGAGAATGAATAAAATAATGTCTATTATTTATGCTTTTATAATGCTTTTGAGACAATTTTGATAAAAAAAAATGCTAGCAGGAACATAATGGTATGGGCAGATGGGCCATTTGGATTTGGGAGAAGCCTGAAAATAATGGGCTGCTGGTTTCTTTTTAGTACTATAAAGCAAACGTACCAACCCATTTATTACCCATTAGGCATTTGGGTTTGGAATACCCAGTGCAGAACCTTCCATTTATGGAAAGTTATTATGGAAAAATCGGACACGTTTTTGCTACAAAAAGTAATAGACAGTAACCTATTTGATTGTTTCATGTCATTCAAAGATTGACCGACAGAGAGTACACAAAGACACATTAGATGTCATCATCACTTATCTCTTCCTTTGTTTGCTTCTTTTCATAACACATCACCCAACACTTTCCCAAATCCTAAAGGAAAAAGGCAAAAACTTGAAAATGTTATAAAATTTTCTTCTTCTGCTTCTCTTCTGGTAAGTTTGCTTCTTCTCTTTTCTGTTTCTTGTTTCTTTTTAGATAATTCTTTTTTGTTCTTTTTCTTTTCCTACTGTTGTGTTAGTTCTTTTTCATGGGTAATGATCTGTTTCTTCAAAGAGTTAATCTTAATGAGGAGTGAGGAAAGGAAGAAACTTGGTGGGTTTTGATCAAATAATTGGACTGAAATTGATTCTTGTAGTTTTAAAAAAAAAGTTCTATGGACCTGGAGAAAGTTGCTGTTTCTAATGTGAATAAAATTTTGAGAAGAATTGAGATGAATCCAATTTTGCATGTTGATGAATAAAATCCAGTTATCTTGGTAGGTTTTACTGTTTATAAAATTGTTTTTAGGGACAACTGGAGAAAGGTCCCATTTCAAGGAATTCAAAATGCCATTGCTTTTCACCCACCCTTGTAGAGTTCTAGGTAATCTTTACAGTATAGTGTTGGTTTCCTTTTAAAAGTTTAAATTCAATCTCAAATTCTTAATGTAGTAATATTGTCTTCAAACTTCCAAGTACTTCCTTATACTTGATTGCTAGACTGGTAATTTGATTTTGTAATACTTGTTTCATTTTGAGAGAATTCTCTGTGATGACAGCATTGATTAATTATCTGATTTTGTTGGATTTGAATCTTAGACTCAGCAGTAATGGGCAATTGCTGCTTTGCCCTTTGTATGATCAATATTTCAGGTTTAAAATCCATGGCCAAGTCCACTTGAACAAGTACCTTTATATAAAGCCCACTAATCCCACAGTCACCATGTGCAGCTTTGCTTCGAAGGCCTTAACTGGAGCCACTGGGTTGAAGACTGATTCGATGAAGCCAAGTCAGGTTTCTTCTGAATGCTCAGATGATGATGATACTTCTTTGAAAAACTATGGAGAGGAAAGATTGGAATGCCCGATATGCTGGGAATCCTTCAATATTGTAGAGAATGAACCCTATGTTTTATGGTGTGGCCATACGTTATGTAAAAATTGTGTCTTAGGGCTGCAATGGGCTGTTTTAAAACTCCCTGCGTTACCAATCCATCTTCCATTGTTCATCTCGTGCCCATGGTGTAATCTATTCTCTTTGAGGTTGGTCTACAAGGGGAAAGTCAAGTTTCCCAGCAAGAATTACTTTCTCCTTTGGATGGTTGAGAGCATGAATGGTGATATGTCAAAGTTTCATTCTTCCTTTCATGGAGCTCATCCACTTGCCTGTTCTACAAATGGAACAATATATGGGGGAAATCAGCTTAGGCGTGTAAACAGCAGACGAGCTTCATGTGCTACTCATCTTTCAGAACAATCAGAGTCCAACCATAATGAAAGCTGCCTGATCACTGGTTATTTCAGTGCTGAATGATTCCAGTCATCAGTCCATAAGTCCTTGGTTTTCCTTTTGCACTTAACAGCTAAGTTCCCTTTGATTGTAATATTTGTGTTTATGGTCTTATATGCCATACCTACCAGTGCAGCCATTTTGGCCCTTTACATTCTTATAACCGCTGTGCTTGCTATCCCTTCTTTTCTTGTTTTGTACTTTGCCGTTCCTAGTTTGGATTGGCTGGTTAGAGAAATCATCAGTTAAACTGACCATAATATTCCCTTATTATGCCATAAAATCTTATAGCATGGAATTGCTCCGTGTGAATTTACCCAGCAATTCAATGACTTCTCCATGTTAGATGCCATGAAAACATGTAGTTCAAGCTCTGTTATGGAAATTTATCCGGTCCTTCAGATCAGTTTTCATTTTAGCATCTGTTTAATGCTATGGGTGTTTGGATGGTCAAGTAATTGCCAGCATGATCCCTGAAGTGCAGCAGCAATAAAGATCCTGCAATAGAATCAATAGTATCTGCTCTTGTCCTGCTAAATATGTTAAAAATCTATTTTATACATATACATGGAACATTTGCTCTCTGCCTATGGAAATATAATGGTCTAATTAGACGACTTTTATTTTGCTTTTGTATCTTATAGGTTAAATTCAGCGTTTGTAGTTCAGTTTATAAGCTAAACAATATATTATCTTGGAGTTTGGATGGTTGATTTGTTCAAGTACAGTAGATAATATGATCAAGGCTTGCAACTCCAATTTCCCTTAACAAGCTGCTGTGGAAAACCCTTGTGCGAAAAAGTTTTGGAACGCCGATCCCTTGTGCAGCAATATTGTTTATCAGCTTTTCCCGGCACTCTGTTTTAGGAAGACATGGAAAGGAAAAAGACTAGCTTGGAACCTTCAGTTTAGGGGGGGAATGAACTGTTATCTAAGCGATAGTTGCCTTAAACTGCTTTCCCTTCCCCAGTAATTGTTTTCAGGGCCTAATATCAGTTGCTGTCCAACGTGAGTCGATGAGCTTCAAGTAAGTATTTGAAGCTCCTGCATTTTTAGTCCATTATAGGAAAACAAAGATGTGGGATAGTCTTGGCATTGTCCAATTCTACAATCATTGATCATTGTGGTGGCTTTGGTACAAGGGAAGCAAAGTTTGAATGATAACTGGTTTAGCTTTAGCCAGCTTGAAAGAGTTGTATTATGGTACTTTAACTAGTTTTTAAATATTCCAATTGAATTTAAAACCATGAATAGTGAGATAGGGACCAAAAAGAGCTAGGAAAGAATTCAACAAATCTTGAGAAGGCAGCTTATTGAGGTACCCTATTGCCCTTGCTCCTTCTCACTTACCCTCAAAAAGCATTAACACTGCGAAAGAAATGGTCAGATTGGCAAATTTCAATCAGCATCCCCATGAGGAATCTTTTAGTAGTGGTTGAAAATTCCCACAGGTAGCCAATAACCGGAACCAGTCATTAAGGTAGATAGAGATTTTTGGACCTGAGTCTTTTGTCTCAAGGATGGGCAAGGGAAAAGATTGTGTCACTCCCTTTAGGTGTTGGTTTTTATGCTGCATGTTTTGGAGAGATCCTGAGAATTCAGAACCAACATTTGTTCCCTTAACTAAGAATTACAGGCAGCTACATAAACCACAATTTCTGCCGCATGCTTTCATTGTTAAAACTAGCTCTCAACTTATTTTAAACATTAAAAGTTTTGTAACTTATAAATGAAAAGTGCTAGAGGATATAGACATGCCAATCATTCATCTGAATTGTTACTGTGTTCAACATTTTAGGTATTATCTATATACAATTGTGTACACAGCTCAGGGAAGAATGTACACATTTTATGTTTGCTGGCTAATTCATGGAAATATTGTAGATATATCATGTTCTCACCATGATTAACTTTTGAGTTGCCAAATGCATTTTATCCAACTTAAAAGAGTTGATTATGTTCCTGATTGAAATGTCTTTAGTTTTTCATGTCATTCGGAAAAAGAAACATGTAACAGGAACCTTTCCTGATGCTCGTATTTTCCTTGCTTTTCGTTTGATCTGCAATTCATCATTTCTTCTTTTCTCATCTACCTGTGCTCTTGCTCCACCAGCAATATGATCAATTCTTGCTATATTGACCTGGTAAAGTTCTTGGGTCCTTTTTATTTTCTGCTCCAATTCTTTCTGCAGTTCAGGCAATCAGAACTCAGGAAAGTGGCATTTTTTAAGTCAATTAACAAGTACTAGTAGCTAAAAGTTGAAGTCTAACCTTTTTCCTGTCCATCTTAACTTTGGCTTGCAGCTTTTTTTCATTCTCCCTGGCAAGAATTGATGCTTTCATTTTCTCATACCTGAACTTTTGCATATTAGTATGATAATACATTTCAGAAGTTGTTGAGCATAAGAAAGGTTGGGTTACATTGTAGAATATTCATGCTTTAAATGTTCAGGGTGTTATCTTTGATTCACAGGCTTGAAAATTAATGATTACCATTTGTTGACTTTTTCCATCTCTGCTTTCTCCCAAGCATCTGCTTTGGTTTCCAAAACATTTAGTTGGGAATAATTTCCCTTCCACCTTCGGTCTCCAACTTCCATGGTCATAGGCCTTGCAGAGGATGAACGACCAGGTTTGCTAGTTGGTAAAGTGCTCTCTTGTCTGCTATAAACCTGTTCCATTGAGTTTCTGCTGGAAGTTTCACCTGAGGAAAATAAAACGAAAATAATAATAATTCATTCTTATTCTCTGACAAAACTTGTTCAACTTGAAGGGTTTTTGAAAATAAGGTTCACCGTGAGATAGACTACGGTGATATTAAAAATATGGGTGGCGATGATATTAGATATGTAAGATTAGTTATTATAATAGTGAGATTAAAATCAATGATGAGGATATATATTTGGACGCAAACACAGAAGTGTTGGTAAGATTGGATATGATAGTGAACTGTCCCACCAAAAACAATCGACTGCCATAATTAAAAGTTTTCTTATATTTCAATTTTACATTAAGACAGTCCACTTCTGGATCTAATGGTTCATTGGACCCTTATCCTTCTAGTTAGGAGCCAAAACCCCTTGGATTCCACCGCTCTGGAATCCAAATGAGTTCTAAATTATGTGGATTAAGAATTCGATGACATGAATGTTGCATTAGTTTTAACAAAGATCTTGCAAAAACTATTACTAGGCAGTGTCTAGTACTTTTGATTATTATCCGCGATTTTGACTTCCTTGCTATAGTATAGCCTAGTTACCCTATCAGAAATTCGCATCCTTGTTATGGTGGTACCTTGTCTTGATCTCTCTTTCTTGATCCTATGTTGTGCTTTGTCTTCTTCAAGTGTGTTGATGGTACGTTCATCAAAATTTCTGTCTGGATACCCTTTCCGTCAATAAATTTGTAAATCCATGGTATATATATACATATATACATATATATATATATGTATGTATTATAAGCGGGTACTTGAAAAAAAAAATGTTGGATCGTCAATAGAAATAAGGAGGTTCTAGCACTGTAAAATACGTAAATTGGTACCTCCTTTGAATGATTCTGCTATTCTTCCTCTAGTATTGCTTCTGCGTTCCTCTTCCTGGAGCAGCAACCCTCATTCTGACATAGTTATTAACCATAAACGAGAGCCACAATAACCAGGAACAACAACAATGTTTGCAAAAAACTTTGACATAAAATTTTTCCAGACATGTATTGTTGCACACTAATGAATGGTGATAAGCAGGATTCTCTTGCCTATGTTTTAGCCTTTATTTTGGGTTCACCCTCAATTTTTTTGTGATTGGTTTTTAAATGCTGTATATTGTTTTAGAATTTTAGTTTGTAAATGAAATCAAAGTCCTTCAGAGAGGAGAAAGAAAAAAAGTGTTAAATCCCAATATTTACTTGGTAAAGTTGGGTAAGTTTCAGTTTGAAGGATTTGATCTCAAACCTGTTGAATATTACAAAGGTAGCTGCTCGAACCGATTGAATTAAGTCCTAAGATTCAAATTAATCAAGTTTTAGCTAAAGTATACTCAAAAGCATTTTAAAAGCCAGAAATAAAAAGAATTCGAAAAAAAGAATTTGACAACAATACTACTAATAGCAGAAAACTTTTGTATTGGAATTGGGGGCACTTACCTCCCTCCTGTGATTAATTAAATTTTCAATCATGCAAAGCCTCTGCAGCCATGTCTAGTCTGATTCTCCTGCTTTTCTTTCCTGTGGAAACTGTTTGATTTTCAATGAGACAAGATCCATTGGCTGATGATTGGAACAAAAAGCTCGGAGATTAAGAAAGTTTTCTGGTGCCTTTAGCCATGATTCCTGAAAAGACTGACACAATTCAGGGAATGTATAAATTCCATGCAGCTTTTGATGAAAGCAAAGAATCTCTCACGCTGACATTCCTGTGTTTTCAAGTTGTTTCCATGTTGAACCCTGATTTATAATGAAACTCAAAAAGAATTGGATGGAAGTCTGGAATCAATCAAAAAGGTTTCTCACAACAATATCAATCCCATTCTCATGCAGCTTCATGTGCCTTTTTCTCCCTGAATGGAAGGGTATAATCTCACATGGACAAGTTGGCAAATTATATGGATACCAATGGCCCACCTGTGCTGTTCCTTGCCAAGGTTGATCAACTGATGCAAAACCAAGAGTGCTGTGAAATAAATTGCATAGAGAGAAGACAGGGGTCAGATACAATTGGATTCATTTTGGCCCAAGGAAGAACCTTGATTTTGCTTGTCTTTTGAGCTTTCATACGCTTCCTTGCCTTTTGGCTTCTCTCTGGGGGGTTTCTATCACCTCTTCTTAACTCCTGTTCAATGTTCTGAAATGTGTTACTCAAAATGAAAGCCAATTAATAAGTATGGACATATAGGCGTAGGCAAAGGTTTCCTTTTTCATTGCAAAGAAAGCTAAATTTTTACAATCTGTTCCTATTTCCATTGATGTCCAAGCAAAGTAATATTTCAAAAGTTTCATATTAATATGGTCAAATTTTGATATTAAATATTTTTTAATTTTCATCAAATTTATATATAATTTTTGTTAAATTCTTTTTAAAATTTTTAATCTACCTTTAAATTTTCCTATCTTCTTATTTATTTTTGAACTCACAAATTCTAAATACTAACTCTAATAAAATGCCAACTAATCCAAATCATGTTCCCTTTTTTATATGACTTATGTATGATATCATCGTAATGTATTAAAAATTATCAGGATTATTTTTTTTATCATTTTAATAATAATAAAAAACCAAACTGGAACCTGTGACTACGAATGAATCTGGGTTAGCTTTGTTATTAATCTAAAAACTTCATATCCAACAAATACAAACAAGCCCAAGCCCTATTTGAAGTGAGTCTGGGTTTTTGTTGCAAATTCCAGTCTATTGGCCACGTGTCAGAACCAAAACGACGAAACAACTTTTCCCGCTCTTTGAATCCAACTTTGAAATCTCTCCCCGTCGCATTCAAAACCCTAACCCCAACCAAAAAAAAAAAAACAGAAAAACTCCATTGATGGAGCTCACAGAAGAACAAAGAAAACAAGCTGAAGCCAATCGATTAGCTGCAATTGCAAAGAGAAAAGCCCGAATTGAGTCCTCCAGTGCCACCGCCGACATTCACTATCAACAAAACCAAGCTCATTATTGGAGGCTCACCAAGTGCCCTAAACTCGCCAAATACAATACCCATATCCCAAAGCGACCTCAAGGTTCGATTTTGGACCCAATTTCCAATACCCAATTGTCTAAAAAGTTCCAGGCCAGGCTCGAAATTTGCTCCCCTGACTCCTTTTCAGTCACCCCGGAGAGGCTGCAGAAGTGTCTCTACCAAGGAGATGAAGAGTGCTTGCGAAGATTGGGGGATATTTTATCTGACGTGAGTTGGGTTTTGGGTTCTTGGAATTTTTCTTATTGCTTCCGTCTAGATTCATATGGGAGTCAATATTTGAATTTATAGCTTTGCTTATTTCTTATATCAATTAAGTTTTATTTCTCTTTTTTTTTCTTTTCATTTTCTTTTCATTTTATAATTCTTAAAGACTCAATCAAGCTCTAGGTTCTTAAGAGTTTGTTTTTATTGTTGATTGTATTGTGCATTTGGCGTTTTAGATTTTTTTGTTTCATTTTTGGTTAGGTTATGCCATCACATTACACCCAAAACAGTGGAGGTGGAAAGGCATGCGTTTATAAGCTCAGTGATTACAATTCTGTTTTGGGATGTTTAAGGAAATCAAAGGATATTGAAATCAAGGAGATACCTCATCTAACGCTCAGAGTTATTGAAACGTTTTCACGTGGCTTTATTACTGGACAATGGATACCATGTAGACCAGAACATTTGTCTGAGGAGGAGGTTGATGAATTGATTAGAAAGCTACCGAGAACACTAATGGATGCTCTTCTGCCTTTTCAACTTGATGGTATAAAATTTGGGTTGCGAAGGGGTGGTCGGTGTCTTATTGCAGATGAAATGGGGCTTGGGAAAACACTCCAGGTAATTGTATAAGTACGATGTTCTATGTTCTTTTAATTGCTGACATGAATTAACCGTAGCTTCATGGCTACTCTCTATGCCTTAAAATCATTTCCAGCTTCTTTATGCTACAATATTCTATGCTGCTATTTTGTAGTGAAATCTAGAAAAGGTAGAAATGGATGGAGTAGACCTAACTGCATCTGCATGGATAAAAATGTTGTCTCCCCCCACCCCCTTCCCCTCCCAAAAAAATGCACTGCAGATAGCATCATAAAAAAAATCAATGTACTTATTTTATGCACATGCTACCGATACAACAACAATAACAACAACCTAAGTCTTATATCCTGTTACTTTGGGGTCAGCTGTCTAAAAGGCCCAAAAAGAATCATGTTAGATCATAGTTTTGAATCTTTTTCGCCACTCATTTCTATCAAAAACAACATTTTTATCTACTTCCTTAACCCTCATATAATTTCTTATTACTTGCATCTACGTCTTTTGTGGTTTACCTCTAGAAGGTTTGGTTTCTTCCAAATCCAGAAGCTTATTTTTCCTAATTGGTGCATAGATAGGCATGTGTTTCACATGTCCAAACCATCTCAAAGGCTCTTTCACATCTTTTCCTTAATTCGGACTACCTTTAATTTTCCTCGAATCTCTTCATTTCTGATTTTGTCTCTTCTAGTCTTACCACAAATCCATCTATGCATCCTCATCTCAGCTACGCTCATTTTCTATTTGTGTTGTTTCTTAACGGCCCAACACTCAGTCCCATATAATAATACAGGCCTTCTAGTTGTTTTATACAACTTTACCTTTAACTTTAAAGCCATATTGCGATCACACAACACATCCCATGCACTTTACCACCTCATGCATCGTGCTTGAATCCTATGATTTACATCTCTTTCTATCTCAGCATCATTTTGAATAATTGATCCCAAATATAAAAAATGATTGCTCCTTGGTACTATCTCAACATCCAACTTAATCACACTAGCATTCACTTCACTATGACTATTAAACTTACATTTCATATATTCAGTTTTAGATCTACTCAATATATTGATACTACCAATACATTCTTAAAATAATATCCAAAATTTTCTTGTTAAGTGCACTGCCAATATTTGTAAATTTGAGAAGACATAATTCCTTTTACTGTTATATTTGGAAATTTGTTTCACTTCTCAGTTTTTGGACATTTCTTTCAAGATAGTATGAAAATGAAATTTGTTTATGTACCTGATTTTTGTTCAGGCTATTGCTATTGCTAGCTGTTTCGTGAATGAAGGTGCCATTCTCGTTGTTTGCCCTGCTGTTTTGCGATATTCATGGGCAGAAGAGTTGGAGCGATGGCTACCCTTTTGTTTACCCTCTGATATACATCTTGGTAAAATTTGGCTTTCATTCCATCTTTTTTTGTTTTTGTTTATATTTTGGGGATAGGGGTGGGGTGGGGGGTTTGGGTGGTAGTGAGAAATGCAAATAACAGAAGATTACTATTAACTAAAGGAAGCTTTGATCGATTTTATTCCAGTCTAAGAGTTGTTTGAGAGTATATGTTTCATTGTTAATTATTGATGTTCATAGTTTAAAATAGCTAATAGCCTTAAAAGGATAAATTTAGGATACTTTAGTAATTCAATAAATATTGGGGTTGGACTCCACATGCTTGGTCAATTTCCATAACATAAAGGATGGGGAATTACTTATTGGCCCTTTTCTTATGTTATGTAATTTAGGTGGAGTCAATATTGAAAAAGTAAAAGAAATTTCATTATAATTTGACTTCAACAAGCTATAGATTGCACTGCCCTTGAGCTTATATGGGTTCTCCAAGACCCAACCCTAACAACAAGGCTAAATCTGTAGCATTTGAAGTAGGTTACTTGGACAGCACAATATTATCTATAAAATACTAAAACCATGTAAAGACTCCAATGACTTCAATTTTTGGACCCAGAAAAAGTAGCTGCTGTCAATTGTACGTTGACGTGGCATTGTGAAGTGTAACAGCAACACCTTAGTAACCTTGTTGAAAAATTAACACAACTTGCAAATTAGGGCCTCATCTAAATTATCCCACCAAATCAATGCTTGAGCCCCCATTTATTTCTATAAAGCATAACCTATTGCTAGACTGCTACAAACTGTTGTCTGAAATTTTCAGTCAAGGAAAAATATGACCTAAAATGTTTACTTCTAATAGGAGTAGGTAGAGTTACTCATTGTTAAAGAATGAAGAAAAGTCTGTAGTTGGTCGTTTATTTTTTCCCTTTTCAATTCTATAAACGAGAAATATGCGAAGGTAGTTGGGACATTTAAGAAGACCTATAAATCTTCTGTAATAAGGTGTGAGTTAACAGAGGATAACCATGTGGAGAGAGGAAGAGAAAGACCAAAAGAACATGGTTCGTAACCATTAGAAGGGACTTCACTATTACTAAGCTTATTGAGGATTTGGTCCTAAGCAGAGCGTGGTGGTGCAACATGACCCATGACACTGACCTCAGACAATGGAAAAAGCTTGTATTGATAGTTGAAATATTAATCTTTTTAAAGTAATAATCTCAGGTAGCATATGTTATTGTTTTACCTTCATTTTTGGTAGCATGTCATTATGAATTTCTGACGAACCAAGTGAATATAAGAAATTGAGAATTTTACTTAGAGATGCAAAATATTTGTGTTACTTGTATTTATGTTGGGAAATCATTGCAGCATATTTTCTCTGTTTGTTCATTGTATTAACATGTAGAAATTTGAATCTTATATGGTGGTAGGACTAATCTGTTGTTTTTATCACTAAATTCTATGTGCCTTCAGTTTTTGGTCATCGGGATAATCCTGCCTACTTAAAGGAATGCCCTAGAGTTGTGGTTACTTCTTATACAATGCTTAAACACTTGCGGAAGAGCATGCTTGAGCAAGAATGGGCTCTCTTAATAGTAGATGAATCTCACCATCTACGATGTTCAAAAAAAGCAAGCGAATCAAGAGAGGTATAAAATGTCTTCCCTTTTGTTTAATCATTGTTTATATGTGTTGAGTTTGTTATTCAATTGTTCAGACAAAAAGCTGATAATGCTATATGACTATATCAGATAATAATTCCTCTAGTGGATGAAGGATCCACACAACTTGTAATTTTATGAGTACTCTTGTTAGTTTATTGTAGTTTCATTGCTAAAATCCTTTACTGAATATTGGCATGTCTCCTGTATTAACAGATACAAACAGTTCTTGATTTGGCAGAGAAGGTCAGGCGTATAGTGCTCTTATCAGGAACACCTTCTTTGTCAAGGTTGAAGCATGAAATTTGAAAAAAAACAGCACTGTCATCATCCATTTCATATTAAATTTAGCATGGACATAATATATAATATCTAATCATTTTGAGCTGGGCTTCTATTTTTGATTGCTTTCTTATCATATTGTTGTTTTTATTTCTAATTGGTTTATAGCACATTCTAATATCCTACTTCCTATACTTTCCTACGGGTTAATAGGCCATATGACATTTTTCATCAGATAAATATGTTGTGGTAAGCTTTCTTTACACTTTAGCATCTTGCCATTTCTCTAGGTTTGTTAGAAATTATTTTATTGTGCTTATGTTGTATAGGCCTGGTTTGTTGGGAGAGACCAAGTATAAGTTTGCTGAAACTTACTGTGCTGTCAACTTTGTGCAGGCCACTCAAGGTTTTAAGGTAACATTTAGAGAAGTCTTTTAATAAGTATGATATTTTTTCTTGCAAATTTTTTCTATGCTTGGGCGTAAGTTAATGTTGCTTAATCAACTTCCAAAAAAAAAGGTTAATTGGATTTGCTCATACTGTTTGCTACATTTTTGCTTTTTTGTTTGCATCATAAGCCAGTTCTTCAATTTTTTTCCTCAAAAGAGTTTTTATGTGCTGTCCTAGAGGTTTTTCAGTTTGTTATATGATTGTTTGTGTTTGGTCAACTGATTTGTTAGATATAAAAAATAGATTATGGTGTTAAGTTCTATTTAGTCATCAACATCTTTTTTTTTCCAATGGTTTGATTGTTAGCATGAAAGTCTAACACACTTGATGGAGCTATTGTGCAGGATTTCTCAAAGGGTGTTCGCTTGGAGGAGTTGAATGTGTTACTTAGCCAAACGGTCATGGTGTGCCCTTGTTTCTCGTACACTTGACATTCTATTTTATTACTATCAGTATCAAATATTATTTAGGCGAAAAGTAGCATCAGTGTACCTTTTTGAGTGTTTACCATTTTCAGTAGTAATTATAGTAAGCAATAGTTCAGATACAGAATATGTAAAATCTTTCAATATGATCACTCAACAGAAAAGCCTCTTTGCACGCCATATGGGGTTGGCTTCACGGATAAAATTTTACCGTTGTGCTTTATTTAGGCTATTACTCATTCAGTTTGCTCATTATATAAGTATAATTTCTTTTCTTGTAGCAAGCATGCAATATGTTGGGATTCAATTGTAATAATGTGTTTAAGAAAAAGTTACTCTCAAATTATACATTCTAATCATTTGAATTTGAGTATGGATTTCCATTTTGCTATGTACATTCAAGACAATTTTTAAGTGATTGCTCTTATTTGGAAGTTCCATTCAGTCTCAAATTTTTAATGTTAAGTCTTTTTGTTAAAGGAATAGTGTTGCATTCCTTTTCTATTTGCTGTGGATGGTCGTTATTCTTGTTGGGTGAAGGACCACCAAGGTGCAAATCTTTTTTAAATATGAGCATTGATACAAGTTTGGCTTATATCACTCTTCCAAATTTAAAAGTTTGTTTTCGTCATACACCATAATAATCTCATAGTAATATCTTACCTAATTCACAATTATTATACTTTAGTCATGGTAAATGTTTGTGATATTTTGTAATTTTTTGGGCTCTTTTTCTTTAAAAGGTAATTCATCCATAGATGGATGCTGGCCTATTGCAGATAAGACGTTTGAAGGAGCATGTGCTGGCCCAGTTACCTCCGAAACGTAGGCAGCTTATAAGGCTGCAGTTGAAGAGATCAGATATAGCTTCGGCCAAGGCAGCTATCAGTTTTGCCAATGCTGATGCTTTTGAAAAGAATGCTTCCAAAGATACTGCTACAGAGAAACTGGAAAAAAATCATGGTAATTTATGATATTTTAAAACTATGGCATGTGTGAATATTCATTGTTGCAAGGCAATCCTTCATGTTGATTTTCTATCTTTCTATGCCTATTTCTGATAGTGACAGTTTCTGAAATGTTATTAATCTTTATTGGTTTTTTGTTTAGTTTCTGGTCCAGATAGAACAAAACTGAGTTATTTAATTTAAGCGGAAGATTAGGCAGTTATTTACATCATTTCAGCCGCTTATACAGATTCCTCTTTATTCGTTCTCTGTTTTGACAAACACATATGGCTTGAATAAATGATGAAGAAATTCTTTCTGGATGATCCTTGTACATATTGTGTTGCTTATGCCTTTGGAATATGCTGAATGTATCATGTTGATGACATACAACTAATTATTGTAATCCTTTTTTCTATTTACTGTTGCCTTGAAGGTGCATTACAACTAGTATGCTTTAATAGAATTGAAGCATATCTATCTCATCAAACCTAAGAATTAGATCTTAGATTTGTTTTCAGATAGAGCATCATCATCATCTAACACCTAGCACAGTATTCCTTTTTTTTTTTTGGCTGTAAAATCTTATTGATATATGAAGAGTTGTTTTCTTCTTTGTTGTTTCTTCTCAGCGTTGCACTATGGAGAGATTGAGATTTGAGTGATGTTATTGTTCTGGTCCTTGTAAAACTCTTGGGCTTTATTTCCAGTACAGATGCTATCTAGTCCTTTTACATTTAGGATGGAATCTTCTATTCCTATTTTTCTCACTGAGGTTGTACAATATTCTTGTTTATAGTGCAACCATAGCTATTTAATGTGGATTAATATGACTTAAGCTATGAGTGGACACTTAACCTATTGAGTGCCTTAAGACCAAGAAATGTGTATGTGTAGAATCTATTTTATTAACCTTATATGTCATGTGCTAAATTGTAAATTCCATTTCTGTTTAGAATGTTAGGTTGTTCATTAATTAGTCTTGCCATGTATAGGAGTTAGGAAGTAGCCTATAAATACCTATGTTAATTCAATTTTAGTTAGCTTTTGATTATGGAGGTTATTCAGATATTTAAAAAGAGTATTAAAAATTTACTGCAGTTTTGAGAATTTCCTTCAAAGCCTTTGATTTTCTAGTGATTTCTCTCTCTTTCTTTCCTAGTTCATTAGGTTTATGAAGAAACAAATATCTATAATTGACATATATTTTTGAAGAATGCATACTTTGAACTCTTTCTGATTAATTAATCATTATGAAGAAACTTTCATGGTTAGTGAATTTAATTAATTTCTTGCTGCTGTTGAATGCTGATTTCATAAGTTTTGCTTGCTTGTGCTAGATGTTTAATTTTCTCATAAATATTTCACAGAATGTTAGCAATACCTGAGTATAATTTTTTTAGTTGGATATTTCTCCTTGCTGCTTCCAGATGGTGAACAATATTGCAATTCCATGGAACTCTCCTCTCAAGAACTTGGTGTTGCAAAGCTTCGTGGATTTCGTGAATGGTTTTCCATTCACCCACTAATTGCGAAGTCAGATGACATGGAAGAATTTGATCTAAACTCTAGTTGTCATAAAATGATAATTTTTGCCCATCACCATAAAGTTCTCGATGGAATACAGGTTAGATTGGGTAACTGTTTTCGTAATAAGTAGTCTTTTCGCTTCTGTAGAAGCCCTTCATTCACTAGAGTAACAACATCTAATAGAATACTGAAGATCATCCTTGATTGTGGAAGAATTACTATCAAGACATAAAGATAAAGAAGATCCTGATTAGATCCTTTAATGCTCAGCTCTGAACTTGTGGTTAATTTCTTTTGTGCCATTGATGATAATACTACCGCATCAATGTACAAAATCGAGAGCATTTAGGTTGTTAACATTAAATTAAGTACTTCATCACTTTCTAGTTTAGATAATAAAAATAGAATTGCAATCTTTTGTCAAGATTTAATTCCAGTATGTTTGATGGCATGTATATCAAATCTTGTGATGCGTAACAGATAAGATTTTTGTTTCAATTTTTTTCTTTTAAAGTCTCTAGCCATCTGGATGTCATGATGTTGTAGTCATGACGGCACCTTATCAACTTTAAATAAATGGCTTTTAAGCCTACCAATTTATTTTTCTGACTTTCCATGCAAAATTTGTTGTTTTGAATTATCCAGGAGTTCATATGTGAGAAAGGAATTGCTTTTGTCCGTATTGATGGAACCACTCTTCCAAATGATCGACATTCAGCTGTACTGTCATTTAAATCATCAAATGGGGTTTGTGTTCCATTTTTCTTTGCATCTATAGTCATTTTATTTGTTTGAGAAATATGTTTGGATTGTGTTTATTTGGCATGATTGTCAACAAGTATCTAGTTTAAACACTTTGAAAGGATTGAATTGGATAGCTTATGAAGCTTGAAATCTGTATTCTTCCAAAGGGGTTATATTGCTATGAAATTTTCTATCTGTCTCTGATGTATGTCTTTTTATCGATAGTCTGTCTGTTAATTTAGGTTTATATGTCTGAATTTTGATATAGTGGAAAGATTTCTTTTATTTAACATTCTATTTTCTAATGTGGGATGTTTACTTCAATTGTCGATTGAAACATACAACAATTTTCTTGTTCTTTATTCCCTTGGATTCTAAGTACTGGCAAAAATATGAACAGATATGATCATCCAATTTGAGTTTGTCCTATATCCTTTTTCAGTGTTGAAGACATTACCAAAGAGTCCATTTTCTCAACTTGCTGCCAAGCTACTTTTACCTGGATTATACTGACCATATCGAGCCTCATTCTTCAGGTTAAAATCGCAATAATTGGTATAACCGCAGGGGGTGTTGGACTTGATTTTTCATCAGCAAAAAGTGTTGTGTTCTTGGAGTTGCCTCAGTCACCATCATTGATGCTTCAGGTTTATTATGCATATCAAAATTTGCTCAGTTTTTCTGAATTATAGCTACTACTCTTTAAGAAAATTTTATTCTAGTCTCATTGAAAATATTGGATGCACTGGATATTAAGTGTAGAATTGGGTTAAATGTTTAAATATTTAGAGGTTGAATTTCAAATTTCTAAGCCAACAATATATGTTCACAAGATTATTTTGTTGACATTGTTTTGATTAGTGCCTTTAGGAGATTCAAATCTCTCAGGTCCTGTTTTGGATTACTGATAGGCTTGTTATTCTCTATGCTTTTTCCATTTGGATCAGCGTTTTCGCTTTTCCAATTTTTTTATTTTTTAAATAATGCAAAATGAGATGTTTAGTTTTTATTTTTTCTAATTGATGAAGAAAGATTACAGGTTCAAAAAGTACATGTGCAAACGAATAAAATTGGAGCAAATATTCTGTAGGGCAGTTATCCAGTAGGCATGGCTTGCTAGTTTGTAGGGCAGGATAATGGACGCAGCTAAAAGAACAGAAAAAGTGAAGAAATGCATCACAATATGTGCTGGATTAAAGGCTCAGTTGAAGCAGAAAAGTAGTTGATCATTTCTGCATTTTTCTGCATCCTTATGTCCAATGTGATTTCTTTGAGAGAAAGAGAGACAGAGAGAACAAAATTCTAGAACAGATCATCTTCTTTAATGCCTTGGTTAAGGTCTACATTACTGAAACCACAATAATGATGCTGGACAGCGAAAAAGAAAGCTTTAAAAAAATTAAGGTTGTGGAATTAGATTTCTGTTACTTTTTTTCCAGTGCACCCTGTCTTGGAAAGGGAGGGAGGATATAGAGAGAGCTCTTACAATCTTTTATTGGTTTATCTTAATCACTATTTTGGTAAAGCATGTACTTTACCAGACGGATATATGTATATATATATATACACATATATATATATATTTCTATTGCATGTTCAAATTTGATCAGTTGTCTTACTTCACCTTTCATCCATGTCTTTTAAAGGCTGAGGATAGAGCTCACAGACAAGGGCAGACAAGTGCGGTCAACATTTACATCTTCTGTGCAAAGGTGTGCATATTTTATGGCTCAAATTTCTTCAAATTTGTCGACAGTTAATAATTTTTTATGTGGTTTATAGTTTTCTTATACTACAGGATACTATGGATGAGTCACATTGGCAAAATCTAAACAAAAGTCTGCACCGTGTTTCATCTACAACAAATGGAAAGTACGATGCAATGCAAGAGATAGAAGTATCTACTCTCTCGCTCACTTCACTATCCCTAAAATAAGTGTCAACTTCTTATTTATGGACTGTATTAAAAAAGATTATTTTTAAAATAAATTTCTTATTGGTGTATATGGCACATAGTTTAGGTTCTTTCTTAAAACGAGAAGTATGAAAAACATGGGCTCTAGGTGACATTGTTTTATCACATCATTTTATATTCTCTCTCTACTGATTCGGAGATAGCCATCACATTTCAGACTATTGTAAGGAGATGTTAGGATCATATGATTTTATTGAAGGCTTTTTTCTGTTTGGCTGCTCTTGCCTGTTATGCACATCGTTATGTAAGTTGGCTGAGCATTGTTGTACACAATAGATTGCACTCTAAAGTACTTTAGCCTTGAATAAGCAAAAGCTCTCTGTTAATATTATGCTGTTGATGGTTATTCATCAGTATTGCTTTCAGTCTCTGCCAGAGCTAAATTTGTTTCAAAGCTTCAACAGACTGCCATATTGTTATGCCTGACAAAGATTTTGCATAGAAATCTTTTTTTTTTCCATGCTGACCATAATATGCGTATGCATGTGCATATTTGTTTAAGTACATGACTTTTTTTTGGTGGTTTGTTTTGTTTAGCAGGCAGCTTATGGTTTCATAATTTTTTCTAAAAGATTGAACTTTATTCTTCTGGCTTGGTAGGTTGAAGGCATTTCTTATCTAGTAACACCTGATGGAAGTTGTAAACATAAAATTTTGAGGAAAGTAGCATCTGGAAAACTTTCACTGGATATAGAGTTCCAAGACCCTGAATGTTTCCAGGATTTGCAACCTTCAGAAGCATTTGCTGATGTAGCTGTTGATAAGAATGATGTATCTGACAGAATGAATCAAACTGGTGGCATCTACCTTCATAACGATGTAAACTTTGACATTTTTAGAATAAAGAAGTTCCTTTTTTTTCTTTTATATTTAATAGAAGGAGCTCCACTGGTATGGCTAACCCTGCATACTTGAGCTTGCCCCAAACCAAGCACATGAAAAATTAACTATTTGCCAACTCACTAACCCTGTGGGATAAAATTTTCTTATCTTTTTTTGGTTCTTCTTCTGCTATTATCCTGATCAAGAGAATTACTTTTTCTTGTTTCTCTTTTGCTTGTGAGCAATTTTCCTCATTATAATTACTAACTAATACTGATTCTATTGTTATAATAGGGTAGTATGGTTCCTGATCTAAGAATAAACAAAGATATTGTTTCCATGGGAGACAAAAAGGAATTGCATCCGTCTACAGCTGATATTGAAATTTGTGACATAGCCCCTGCTTTTAAAATGGATAAGAGACGTGAAGATCATGATCCACTGCCAAAGGTACTAATTGGAAAATTTGCTCTCAATTCAGCAAAAAATCCACTTTCCTTAGCTTTTGGCTTAAAAGTAATTCATTCATGAAGTATATTAATGCAGGGAGAAATAATCAAGCCAGATGATGGTACATCAATTCAACCATCAGATGCTGAATGTTGCTCTAATCAAGTAGATTCTCTGCGGTTTGAGGTAAACAAACTATACCTAATTGTAGATTCTGGTTTATTTGCATTAAGCAAAACTTTCTAGTTGTTTGGTCGCCCTGTGCAATGGAGAGCAATTTTATCTATTTCAAACTGCTGCCTTTAAGTAGTCATTGTGGTAGACCAGTAAACTGACAAACCTACAATCATTCTTTACATTAACAAGGTGACTTCTTTCCTGTTAATTTCACAGATTTTACCGGCTTACAAAGTTTATCCTAGATGTATGTATTTTGCAGTCCATTTGCTATTCAATTCATCCTTGACCACAGAATTCATTCCAAAGCTTGTATCTCTTATGTGCTTTAATTGACAAAAGGGGTGAAAAATGGTATAGTTTTCAAGGAGTATGGTTTGCTAGTTCACACAAACACATCCATACAAATAAATAATGTACAGATTGCTTTTTCAATCATTAAACTCGATTGTAAAATTTCTTCAACCTTCCTATTAATCCTGCACCCACAGACATTCCTAGTTCTCTAGGAAAACTCATCTCTTTCCAGTTATCAAAAACATCATTTGAAAATTTCCCCATTCTCTTGAACAGATGATTGAATCTAGGTTTCAAGAATGATGAAGTTGTAAGTGATCAGCAGTTTAAGCAACAGTGCAAGAACTATGAAATGCAATCTAGCAGGTTTCATTTTTAAACATTGATATTTTACTTGTACTGTGTAGGTAAGCCAATATACTGGAAGAATCCACCTGTATTCCTGCATCCTAGGTACAGATTTGAGACCAAGGCCACTTTTTGAGAATGTCCGCCCAGAGGAAATTGAGTCAGAAGATGCTCTGGCTAGTGATAATAAAGGAACAGTTTCCAAATATTTTAAGGACCACCCAGCCTATAGGCATGCTCTTTGGGCCTTCATGGAAGAATGGAATAAACTAAGACCCATTGAGCAAAGAAAATTACGTGGAAAGCCTTTGCAACTCCCTTTATCCGTTGAGTTATGCTACATGAAAGAAAGCATTAACCATAATAGTGGGGTATGTCTGAATGAGCTTGTATTTTGTACCGGGATATCTCTGATAATGCGTTATGAATGATTTAAGGTGTTGCTTTATTTCTATTGCAGGGATTGCTGAAAGGTGGGAGCAAGCGGCGCATAACACCTTTGTGTGAGATTAGCATTTCTTTACCTCCAAATGCTGTGTGGAAAAAGGTCCATCTACAGTGTAGTAACGGTAAAAAGGAGAAAGAGTATACTCAGGGTTGGACCCTGACTGATGAACCACTTTGTAAACTCTGCCAAAAACCATGCAAGTAAGAACCAATTAATCTTCTTTCACATGACCATTTGCCACATGTCATTGGCTTTCTTTGGCTTCAGGGGGAGAAGTGCCAAGATGCCTGAATATTTTGAGGATCTTTTCTGTAACCTTGGCTGCTATGAAGAATACCGCCTAAGGACTAGCAACAGATCCCTCCGTGAGGTTTAGGCATAATGTTTCTTTACCTCTTGACCTTGATATCTTTCAGTTTTTTTTTTTTTTTCTTTTGGGTGCATACTTTATGTGACAACAAGATTTCCAGGAACTTTTTCAAATTGAGCATGGTATATGCACAAATTGCCAATTAGACTGCCACCAACTTGTGAAGCACTTAAAACCTTTATCATCAGAGAAGCGGCAGGAGTATATTGCAAAAGTAGCACCAACGATTGCAAGTCAGAAGAGCTTGTATGTCAATTATGATAAGTTGCTGATGCTAGTTTTCTAATTACTGCAGAGTACTTATTGTTGTAGAAAATTATGCAATTAAGGTTTGAGATTTTCACGCAAAGAAGTCTGCTAGACATACCAAGCATTGAACAACTTTGTGTGCACACAACCATATAAGTCGTACTGATTGGTGCTTTCCAGATTCTTATATTTTCTGAGAACCAATTTCCTAGTTTGCCTTCTACAGGGTTGACAAGCTTGTTCGTGATCCTTCTGAGGGTAATGCATGGCATGCAGATCACATTGTCCCTGTTTACAGAGGGGGAGGTATATTATCGTTCAAGAACATCCTTTTTCTAGGACTTTCTTGTGTCGTGACTTTCTTCTAATTTTTCTTGTTCTATTATTATGCCGTTAAATTGAGCTTGATTTTGGTTTTCATACTGGACCAAAATTTTCTGCAGGTGAATGCAGGCTAGAGAATATGAGGACTCTTTGCGTGGCCTGTCATGCCGATGTTACTGCAGCACAATGTGTTGAACGACGGTCAATGAGAATCAAAGCAAAGGAAAAGCTTAAAGCCATCTTGAGTGACCTTAGAAATGCTGAGAATATAGAAAAGAATGCTTCTTGTGGAAAGGTATACAGCAAGGGTGAAGAAGGCACTGTTTCTATAGCACTGCATTTCTATATCATAAGATGGTCTTTCCACAAAAAAAAAAGTGTTTGTTAGATGGTTATGATTATAGTCAGAAGTTTCACACCTTTAGGTGTTATGTATTTTACAATTTGCTTCTGGTTTACAAAGTGATAACAATTTAATTTGCTTCAGGATCAAGGACCCTCAGAGATAACAGAGGACATAACTGAGGATGAACTTCTAGTCAATGTTCCTGGAAGTGCCTATTCTGTAGGAAAAAGCAGCAGCCCTCAAACTGAGGAATTGAAGAATTCCCCGAAACATTAATGACCAGACTTATGTTAAAGAAGCATCTGCATGTTATCCTCTCATGTGTTTTTGATTGCGACAAAATTAACACAATCTTCCAAGAAAGGTATGTATCCAAAACATTTCCTAGTAGGCTTTTGCAGGCTTGCTGGTTACTGATGAAAATCTGTAAATTCTCATTGGCTACCATCAGATATCATAGAAAATACCATACAGATGTCCTATTCTTGTGGGAAATATATATACTCTGTAAAATGGCCTTCATGTTTAGATGAATGCAATCCATTTATTTGTCTTTTTTTCCCCTATTTTTGATGCATACTTTTTCTATTATTTAATAGTAATGGTGTTAAATTCTTTTTTTGTTAAGTCAGTGATGATGCCACATCCAAAATCCTCAAGCAGCAGTAATAAAAGTGACTAAATTTGGGATGTGAGCTGCCTGCAAGCAAATCATAAATTTTTGCCGAAACCCTTCAAGTTTAATATCTAGGAGCACTTGGCAATTATAATCTGGGTTTCTCTGGCTCAGTTTATGTTGATTTTTTTGTACTTGCTGAAACTTGGGTTTGAATCCTAGTAACTGAAATTAAGAGTCCACTTATCTAGTATTAATAAACTTAATTGTTTGTGCTTAAAACTTCATCCTTTTTGTATATAATTAGTTTTTTGTCACACATGTAACTTTGTATTTTTACAAAAAAAGGGTTAATATTGATATAATTTTTCAACTATTTGATTTAACTCAATTGAAAACCGATCTTGCATTATTGTGAATTTTTTTTATCGAAAACATTTGAGGTTAATAGATTTTTAACAATTAATATTATTTGTTTATAGGTTTTTTTTTTTTTTTTTCCATTCAATCGTATAATATCTAATTGTTAAAATTTGCTAAAACAACCTTAAGCAATTAAGTTTGATAACTTATCCTTTAATAAATGTTGATTTTAAGTAGATATTTATTCATATTAAATATTTCAACTCAATTTTTAATCAAATCTTATAATTAAAACTCCTTGATAAAATGCTGATTTTTTTTATAAATGTTGTTGGAAGGTTGTTAGACTTTTTTTTTTATGATTGAATTAAAAACTAATATATATATATATATATATATATATCAAAACAATTAAATTAAATCAGACAGTTTAACTTAATGGTTTCTCAAAAATTACAAGATACTATAAATGGATTTAAAGGAATAAACATTTTTGCAAATATATTATGTTATAATTGTAAAACCCATTTTGGCTTGGAAAATTTAAGCTGTTACCATCAAGAAGGTAACATCTATGCCTTGGTTTTTTTTATCCTGCTTTTCTCAGTATTTAGCAATAAGCACAGAATAGAAATAAATGAGAGCATCAAAGTGTAGAACATCAAAAATGAATTTCATAATCTCAACAGTTTTGGACCAAAAAGCATTTGGCAGTCAGTGCTTCACAACACAGCCATGGAATGCATGCATGATGGTGGAAAAAGGAAAACTTGTACAGCTTCAGTGTCAGATCAGCCAAGAAGTGTTAATAGGGGACAAAGGAGAACCTGCCATTGTAACATACGCTAGCTTCCTGAACCAACGGTTTACTAGATTCTTAACTCATAACTCAGACCTAAAATATGACTGATATAAGAAGCCCGTAAAGCATGCAAACACGTAACTACGAAACCTGTCAAAGTTGTCTCAGTACTTTTTTTCTCTCTTTTTCCAAACTAAAATTTCATACAAAGAATTCATTTCACAACAAATAGCTTGGAAGAAGCCTAGTGATCAATCAGTAATCATGATCAAAATCTTAACCAACTGTAGCAGACTTCTGCAAAGCATCTGCTGCAGCATAAAAAGAGTCTTTAGTGCAGTATTTAGGTATATGACTGACCCCTGGAAATTTCAGCTGCAAAGCCTATAAATGCCAAATATGATGAGAAGAGTTTCATGTTGGTTACCTTAGACTTCACTCATTGGTGATCCCAGCTGAAAAGAACTGCTCTGCTCTGTCAATGAAGCTACTAGGGAATCTACAGTATAACATTATTGAAGTTCCCAAAACTGGAAGGTTTGGTCTAATAATTGTTTCTTCACAAGTTTTTGATGATTTGCAGTCTCTTTGATTTCTTGTCTTGCCAACTCTGAGGCTATTTCCTAAACCGCTGCCCTTTCCCCCAGAGATCCTTGTGCTTCTGGCATTGTAACGGCTAGATCTTAGGGGAATATCCCCCTGAAATCTTTTAAAATCAGAGCCCTGCTGATTACAATCACTCAAATCCTCTCCCAAGAGAATTTCTGGGTTTGAATTGGATCTGACTGTTGGTAAGATATTTCTGCAAGATCTTAGCAAGGACAATAGCATATCCATACTTAGTTCCTGCTGAACTACACCCTTATTCTGTTCACAGCCATAACAGGCCGCAAGAAGCGTCCCTGCCAAGACCGGCATCAATTCTGGGTCACTGAAGAACATGAAAGGCAGATCACACACCTGTGCCCTTCCAGCTCAACCGTTAGCTTCTCAAGTAACATCTAAAGATAAGAGGGAAAAAATTATGAAGAGCTACTGACCTTGTGAAGGATTGTGGGACTTTTACCCCATCGAAGAACAGCTTGATTCCCGGGGTGGAACAAGGCGAAGTAACCAAGAAGCAGCAGAGATTCAAGGAGAAGCAAACCAATCTGAGACAAAATTGACAGCATATGTCAAGGATATGATCTTTGAGACTCAATGCCTTCAGAGTTGATTTCTTTGGTATTGCACGATTTCTTATGTATAGCTTTGAATTCATGCATGCATTCACAGAAAGATGCCCAATATAAAGATAATTACTTTTTTCACAATGTTGATCATTCATCAAATACATGGGTTGTGGATATTGTCCACAATTTTGGAATTATACAGGCCATGTGCATAACTCCTCCCAGTTTTGCGTGCATTAGAAAACAGTGAAGTGTACAGAATCACCTGATCATTAGCTGCTTTCCATTTGCTCGTGCAATAAGAAAGAAGGAAACTCATCAAGTGGAAGAACTCCATTTTGAGGTCTGGCCTAGCCTGAAGGAAGGTGTTCAGGGGATAAAAAAGGGATCAAATTAGTTCAAAAAATATTTTTTTCAACTTATATCAAAATCAGCAAAAGCATGAGAAGAATCATAGAGTTAAGCTTGACAAGCCACTATCATCAGTATCATGCAACCAACATCCAACATAATGCATGCAATTTACTCACCAGCATTCTCTGCATAAATGTAATATCCAATAGAGCCAAATTATTCAGAACCTTCAGCACTCCAGTTGCCACCTCTTCAAAATTAGATGGAAGGGCATTTGAAGCCTGAAACAGAATAAATTATTAATTACCAAAATGATATCTTTGGTATGCTTACTAGAAGGTTCTTTCTTAAAGAACCACAAATTATGTGTTTTCCCAATAAGTGGCTTGGTTCTATGGATATTGATCACTTTATCTATTCAAAACCATACCCTTAGTAAGAGTCCGGATTCCAAATATGAATAATTCATAATATGGCAACTCAGAATCAATAAAATGAGGTTTATCTAACAACGAACAGACAGATAGTGATAAAAACTGCTCAAACCAAAATTAATTGTCAGAAAAAGCAACTCAGTTTTATATTTGTCATGTCATAGCATGAATCTCATTTTTGCTGCTCAAAAACTATAGAGCAAAAGACAATAAAGTGGTTGCAAAAATGTAAACAACATCCACAAAACACTAGTGGCAAGGCCAACCCATATTATCGCACAACAAATGATCACAGAATCAGAACTAAAAATAATAGGACCAAAAACAAAATAGCCAAAGTGGTGGAAGTTTAAAAGATTCCATAGAACAATCTTGTTCAATTCCATGACATAAAATTAAAAATGAAAGAATAAAAAAAAAATCAAGATGCAGCAAAGTTACCTGGTCAGAAGGTAATCTATTGTTTGCTTGAAGTAGCACACTTGTCAACAGGGAAGGAAGGCTGACTAATCCAGTTTCAGATATAGTGGAAAGAAGGAATGCCAATGGTTGTTTCACGCTTGATATGTCTTCATTCAGTTTCCCCTCCCTGGCAATGATGTCGAGTTTCTCTTCCTTCTGCTCAACTAGAGTTTTCTGTGATACATCGGTAACATCTATCTTGGAAGTGATAAGATTGTTCAACTCAACTGAACTATCAGTTGTCCTCTTTTCACCACCTTTGCTGGTGAATACTGGAATATCATTCTTATTTATTCTACACGGTTCATGTAATGGTCTATCCTCTGGTACATCAGATAGTGACACAACTGTGCTACCATTTAGCATAGATAATGGAGCTATAATGTCTCCAGTGTTATTATTTACAAAGGAACATCCAGAATCAGCTGAGGCTGCAATCTTAGTTTCTTGACTTTCATCACCCAGTTCCATTTCAATAGGTAAAGATTCCCAATTGATGGAACTATTTCCAGGACTGGATGTCAAAACCACCAGTAGATGGATACTCAAGAGAATAGATGAAGGGAATGGGGACCCTTCAACCTGAGGCCTATCATACAGTGCAAAAAGATCTCGGAGCCGGTGAATAACTTGGTAGGCAATTAATAACTCCAGCAAGCCATCCCGCATTTGGAGTTGCTGTTCATCAGAGCTTATATGACCAATAATTGAGGAGACAGTCCATAAAAAACCATCTAATACTTCAGAGACTGATTCAAAATTTTCAAGTGATGTTTTGCATGAAAGTGAGTGGCTGCTTCCAGGTACATTTAAAGATGCAGCAATCTTTATATAGTTCTCAAGTGCTGCTGACAGCATGGGGATCATAGGAGGTAAAAGATTCTGGGCAAGAAAATAACTCCTGTTCACAGGAGTGGATAACACCACCCTCAGAAGTTTTAAAAGATGTATTGTCACCTGACAAGCCTCAGGTTTTGATGTATGTGAAGCAGGCAGCGCAGAAGCAATAAAATCAAGCAGACCAGATTGGCGAGAAGCCTGTAGCTCAGGTTCCTTTCCCTCCAAAAACTAATACAAAAGGAAATTTTCATAAGCAATAAATTAGAAAGAGAGCATCATTCCCTACCCAATCTCCAAACACACATACAGAGAAAACTGGCTAAAACTATTTATCCTACCACCATTTCAAAGGGAGTTGCAGCATGAATAAAAAGAGAAGTTATGTATAGCTACTATGTTTTATGAAAGAACAAGGATGATCATAACAGCATATAGAGGAAAAGACATGAATAAGCTAAAAGCAGATTCGTACAGTTGTCTACATCAAAGGAAACAGGTGGCAACAGTTAGCTCACCAAAATCCACTCAACAATCAAAAGAGTGCATTAATCGGAGTATTCTTAGAATTATTTAAAGAAAATATTGCCTGAATCTTACCACTAAAGGGTTCCTAGAAATTCTATTAACATTCATGATATCCTTAAAGCAAACATCCCATGTTGAAACATCACAACCATAATAAATATTAAGATCATAATATCCTTGAATGGTGGTCTAAAATGGCATACCTTGATCATTTCTGCAGTTATTAACCCTATACTTGAGGCTCCTTCTTTTCTTGCTTGACGAAGTTTCTGAAGTTCCTGAAGCCACCTCCCAATTTTTGCTCTTGCAGTTCCCACTGCAGTTCTATATCCAATACTGCTATTTTCAGAAGCAGCAGGAGGCTCAGAAAATTCAAATTTCAAAGCCATAAGTCTTTGCCGAATTCTTTTTATCCTTCGTTTCAGCGAGTGTTGCAAAGCACCACTGCCTGTTGCAAGTGCAGAATTTCCTAAAATGGCACTGCCATTTGCTTGACAATCATCAGCACTGTTGGTTGGTGTAGATCTGCCCTGGCTCTCCTTATTAACAGATCGACGCAGTAAAGGTGAAGACTGATCCCTAAAATCCATAGAAGCTCTCTCCCGTATTTGTTCAAGGTAAAATTTACGACGTTGCTCACTTTCACTAAGTTTTTCAGCTAATTTCTGTGCTAGAAGTTCAGCTTCCTCTTGCTGAGCTTTAGCTCTTTCCTCCCTCCTCCGAAGCTGCTCTATGGCCCTTTGCTCCCTGGCTGCACTTGATGCCTTCCGTTCTTCTTCCCTTCTAAGTTGAGCCTCCTCCTTTTTCCTCTGCGTCTCAGCAAGGCGTTGTAACTTTTCGGCTTCAATGAGCTTTCTGCGTTCTAAAACAGCTTCCTCCCTAGCCATATCTTCTTTCTGCTTACTTTTCATCACTTGAAGTTTTTCAGCTCTCCTCAACTCTGAATCTTGCAGTTTCTGGCGCAACATAAGCTTTTTATTTTCTTCATTTAATGAAGTAATGAAACGAACCTCATTAACTTTACTGCTTTCATCACCAGCTCTCCTCACAACTTCTGCCAGAAAAGCTTCGTGTCGTGACTCACTACGTTGCTGACGGGCATACATTCCCTCTCGTAACTTCATAGTCCGAACAGCCTGCCATTCATTGACACGAATGAGTTTCTCTGAGGTGCGCTGAAGCTTGTGAACTCTTTCATTCTCCAATTCACTTCGGATCCTCAAGGCCCGTGCATGCTTTTCCTCTGCTTCCTTCTTCAAATCCACAGCAGTTTTCTTCTTTTTCTCTGGGGACATTAATTTATCATGCAAAATACGTACACGTTCAGCACTTTTCTTGGCAATTCCAGGTGAGTATGATACACGGGTAGAAATACGGAAAGGAGATGAAAGTATGTCTTCCCAGTTCCTCTTCTCCTTCCATGCATCCATGGATTTCCATGAAGTTGCATTTCTCTTATCCTTGTCTTTTTCGGAAGGAGTTTGCCTCTTAATGTGATCCAAACTTTTGGAGTTTTTTTCAACAATATTTTCTGTAAATGTTTTATCTTTCCTAGAAGGCAGCTTCTCAGTTTCAGACCCAAGATATTCTCTCCTGCTCTTTCCAGAACCAGATGCAGCAGAATTGTCCTTCAGAAGTGGCCTAGATGAAGCAACATCAGGAAGGATATAGTTCTTTGGTGGGTCACGAACATTTTGAACAGAGTATAGTTTGCTCAACTTGCCTGATTCAATGCTTCGTTTCTCTCCATTTAGATTCCCTTGAGTAAGATCTGAACCTCCACTGAGTTTTCTTGACTTTATCCCCAACTCTTTATCACTGGATGTTACATTAGACAGCATAACTGACTTCTTCAAATTATCACCAGATGTAGAAGCCCGATTAGAATTGTCCTGCCCCAGGGATTTTTTGCCATTACCTGGACATAGGCCAGCTCTATCTTGTTGAATTTTTTTAAAAGCCTCTAGGGATGAAGACAGTATCTCTGCTCTGTGAGGTGAAGTTGTCATTCTCCGAACCTGCATTCAAGAGGAAGCATCTATACTGTTCCATATTAGATGGCTAGATGGCATGAAATGATATTAGAGAACCTCAAAAAGAAAAGGAGCGATCAAGTTTGACACACATTTATGTTTGTGTCTGCCAGCATCCTTAATCCACTGCATGCCATCTTCCAAAACCATAGCTCAGATCCAACCCTACCCCCCCCCCCCCCCCCAACACGCACACCCATTCATGGCCCCACAACTTGAAAAGCATTTTTTTAATTTCATAAAGACTTTGTCAAATAGACACATGTAACAAGAGGTAAAAAGAACTCCAATAAGTACATATCATACAGAAAGGTGCACACCATGAAAATTTTAAGCTCTCACAGAAGTAAAATGCAGGATTGAAGATTCTTCTAATGGTATGATATGATGTGAATTGCCATTAATCTGATGCTTATAAGCCAAACAATTGCATGGAAAAAAACAAAATGAGCTAAGCATGCTTACCTCCCATGAAAGAGCATGTGGCCTTCTATGGTCGCTCTTTAAAGTAATTGGCACACCGTCAACCAATTGAGAAGAGGACTTTTTCACATTCTCAAACTCTTCCACTCTTGTAGTTAATTCTTTAAAGTCAGAAGCAGCCTCTTCAAGAACAAGAATGGCCTCTTTCATCTGCTCCAGATCACATTCTAGTTCACAAAGAAGATAAAGTTCATCTACTGCCCTATTAAGATTCTCAAATAGGAAACACCAAAGCCGTTCCCTAAACCTTTCTTTGCTTTCCCCTGCATCACCTTCTCCAAGCGCAGTTATAATTTGAGCTTTTGACAGATCAGGTTTTCTACCATCCTGTATAGAATCTGTCATAATTGATTCTCTCAAAGTTTCAGGTCCACTATTCTCGGGTGGAAGTGACACTGCATCCTGGGAAACCATCTCTATGCTTGAACCACAATCTACAATAGGTACTTCAGATGTTTTTGGTTTGCCAACCTCCAATACGACTTCAAGCATCTCAGGTCTCACCGCTGTTCCAGAGGCTTGACAAGATAGAAAGCTAGAATCTACCTTATTATCCTTTATTGGTTTGATGTGTTCAGTACATATTTCCTTGCAACCATCATCCTCAGAAATTATTTTGTCATTGTCCGTCTGCACTTCCACAACTTCTGAAGATATTTCATTTACCTCTTTACAGGTTTCTTCCATTAGTTCATCTTTAGGAGTCAATGGAGATACCTGACAAGAATGACCCTCAACATCCACGGACACTTCCACTGTGTTTTCTTGGAGGTTAGTACAAGAACTACATGAAATTGAATTACCAGTATTCTCATGCTTCAAACAGACAAGCACATTATCATCTCCAATATTGCCAAACATGATTTCAGTTCCAACGTTGTTTTCATGACGTGCTACCAGAACATCATCTTCTAAATCACCCCACTTGATTTTGTGAACTATATGGGGTTTATCCTTTGACAGAAGTTTTGAGTTATCTTCACAGCTACCATCACAATGTTTAACAAAAGAAGGAGATTTGGGGTTTTCATGGTCTTTCTTAAGAACACATTTATCAAGATAAAACATGTTCTTTTTATCTTCATTTGACTCAGCAGTAGAATTTGCAAGATAACCCCGGTTATGTACATCCAAATTCCTTCCAGATGTTTGAAGCTGAGATCTGCCTTTTCCTTGCACAGTTCCAGCCTTCTCATTCAACAAGGGCTGACCTCTCATCAAATTATTAGCACTTTTGGCTGAAGGTCCCCCAACCCAGCTTTGTACGGAAAACTTTGAGCTGCTTCTATGCTTCTAAAAATGAAATAAGAAAACTAATAAAGACGGCAACATATGACACCGACAAATAATCAAAATAACATTTAACATTTTAATACACCAATGTAATTATGGCACTTCTAAAATAGAATACTGCAGCAGATTACCAATATGAAATATGAGGGAACACTAAGAATAGAAAATAACATGATCATGTGTTAGCCTTAGGAGGCACATTTAGAATGTTAAGGTAGTTTTCTAAGCAATACTTTAGTTAACTCAAGAGACCTACAAGGAAGTGGTGCAATCTAGGACTAGGTGATGATATAAGAGAAGGAAGACCCATCATCTCTTCATGCCAGAAATACCAACAACATAACACTACCAATCTCACATCAAGTGCAAAGTTAAGCAAAATGAAGTGTTGGGTTGCAAAGAAAAGCACTACACGGTCAAGATGAACACCTTAAACAAAGCAATATTTCCAAACTTTTTGAGTGAATAACAGAATTTTTTTAGTCTGAGACTCCCACTCTGTTTTTAACAAAAACATTCCCTTATCAATCTTGTTGTTGGAATCATTCTTCGTTAAAATCAAATGAAGACTTATGAAACATATTACCCTCAATCTGGAAGACCTATGTAACTTGTAATTAAACAAGTTGATTTCCCCAGCTATCTCACGATCAATTCACTTAAGAGTCGGTAACAATATAAAGTGAATTTCACTCATAATCTAACCTTATGCCCAATACAAACTTAGCAATCAGAATCGGCACAAAGGGACACAAACAAATTGCCTTATATTGTTTAGCTGCTAAGAAAAGTACAGCAATTCAAAACTTGTATTCTTTTCGTACTAAAATAAATAATCAGCCAGCTAAGCTCAGAGTAGCAATCAAACTTAATTAAGCTAATAATCAGAAGAGACAAAATATTTCCCTTTCCCCAGTTTTTCTTTTTCAACTTCCAAGCAACCAAAACAGATGATAAACACAAAATGGCAACAAAAATACCAACATATGAAAATGTGAATGGGCATTAATAATACAGATTAAGAAAGAACACCTTTTTCACTTCAAACCATCCTGAGCCTTGATCATCGACTGCTTCTTCACTGCTATCCATCATCTCCAAGCGTTAAAAACCCCAAAATACCCTCTGAAAATAAGTACTTTACAACATAAAAGACGATTAAAATTTATCATCAAAAGCCCCTAGTGTTAAACAGAAAAAAAAAAAAAAGTAAAAATTCTTTAGATTTGTACAGCAAAATGTAAACTTTGTTAATCATACACTATCAGCATGACCAAAATCAAATTGGGTAATTAATAACTTTACAAAAAAAGGGTGATTGAAGCAGTCATCAAAAAGTAACCAAAATGTGAGGAATTGTTATTCCAAGAAAATTAGGGGAAAAAAAGAAAGAAACCGTTCCAGTCTTCAGGGGGAAATGAGAGCTCTGAATTGAACATTGAATTTCTTGGAATTGAAATTTTGAAGGGAATTGAAAGAAAGTATGGGTAATTGCGAAAAAGGTTTGAATTTTTGAAGGAAAGTCTAGGATTTTTCCAGGGTTTTTTTTTTTTTTTTAATTTGGGGGTAAAAGAAAGGTGGGAAAGTAGGAGACTGAGGGCTTTATATCAAGGAAAAAGGTGGGGGCGAAATTCCATTATCACTGATCTGTCCTCAATTTTTTTTTAAAGACAAATATATCCCACATGCAATTTTTATTTAACCATTTTATTTTTCTCTACTTAAAAAAAAGGGTGTACCAACTATGCAAAAAAGAAATTTCAATTAAAAGATAAATTATTAAAATATTATTATTTTTTAAATTTAAAAGACATATTTTGTTTTAAATTTTTTATTTTTAAATATATTATAAAAATTATATTTTATTTTACTAATTTTATTTGTGAAATTCATAAAATTTATTGACGTTGTATAAAAACAAACTCAAATAATATATATATATATCACATTTACATCAATTAAATTAATGAAATTTATTTTTTATGATTTTAATACTCTAATAACCAAAGATTATAATGGAAAAAAAACTTGCTAATTCATTACTTTAATCCTTTTCAATTTCAAGTTTTAGCCATTTTGTATCTCAATTATTATTTTGAAAAATCTTGACATGCTTTTAAATAAAATTTTGTAGTCGTGTAAAAATAATTTTGGTGGAATTATTGTAAGAATATTACGAGAATATATAAATTTAATTGTTAATTATTCAAATTTGATTTATCAACTTTTTTATTATAAATATTGAATTTTTAATTTTAATTTTTAAATTTGCTCTAAATTAATTAAAAAATACAAACTATGGATTATTGTGAATATAAATTTATTACTTGTAAAATATATATATATATATAAACTTTAGGCTATCAAATTTAACTTTTGTTATATATAAACTAGATACTTAGATTATATCAATTTTAAAACTCTCCCCAAACAAAATAAGAAATCTTATTTCCTTTTGATAAAAAATTAAATTGTTATGAATTCATGATTTAATTTAATTAATTTATGTATTTATATGATATTTAATAAATTTAAAATTTAAACATTGATATTTATAATTTTTTCTCGAAGTATAACTTACATTATAAAAAATAATTATAAACACAAAATTGTTATGATAAAAAAAAAAAAAGTGTTGCACAATATAAATTAGCCAAATAACTCTAGGTAGATGCTAAATATGTGAAAATGCTTTCAAATTAATTTGAGGTAGGTAACATCTTGATTGAGATAATTATGTTATTCCCTACCAACAATAATACTAAAAAAGGTGTTGCTTTTGACCTATTTCTAAAATGTCTTTGGCATTATTTTAAAGTGACAAAATGTATGAAATAGAAAAGAAAAGGGTTAATATTTCAAAGGTTCTGAATTATAACAAAATATTTAATTTTGTCTTTAAAATTAAAAAAATTTTTAATATAGTACTTGAATTATGAATATATTAATTTATATGATATTTTGAAGCTTGTTACTCAATCATGAGTTATTATTTGAAATTAATTACGTTAAAGATAAATATCATATCAATTAAAAAATTTATAATTCAATTATTATATAAAAATTTTAAAAATTTTAAAAATTATATTAAATATTTTATTATAATTTAAGTTTCAATTGTCACATTAATACGAAATAAATAAACACAAAAGTAGAAGAAAAGAAAACAACTACCATATAATCCATGTGATAAAGACATATACTACCTATCACTCTAAAGAGACAATTCTCTTGATTTAATGGTAGTAGCTTTTAATTATTGACAATTTGGCATTGAATCAAATTCCCCTAAAATAAAGCCCAAAAATTAAAAAAAAAATGTTGAAAGGAAGAACAGCATCACAATTTATAATTTGCATGAGTTAAAATATAAAAAAGCATCACCCACATGTATAAGCTTGATTTGTAAGTAGAGGAGTTTTTTTTTTTCTTGTCAATAAAATTTGATTTTTTATAAAATATTTTGAAAATAAAATTATAAATACATTATATAGTAATATGAAAGAGTATATTTTTAAAATTATCAAAAGATTAGATCCAAATACAAACCCAAAAACACCTTGATTGTAAGAAAAAAAAAAAGGAAAATCATGAAACCTTATCTAGAATACAAGTTAAAATAGAAATTTATTTGGTGTGAAGTCACAATAAAAGGTATATTGTACTTGAAATAGAAGTTATTTTTCTCATATTCTAATTTGGTCCAATTCTAACTTTTATTTATTTGTAAAAATAGTATTTAATGATTCAATAATTTTAACCTTAAAAAAAATCAATAATGAAAAGTAAAAACATGATCACAAAATAAAACTATTATCCTAGGGGATTTAACCACTAAAAAAAAGTAGTTTATACATTAGATTTTTGGACCCATTTGCCCAATTGTGGCAAAATGCCCTTCTCAAAAGGCAAAGGTTGCATAATTAAAGTCAATGTAGCAGGTTTTTTTTTCTTGAGAAAGTTTTGGAAAGAAAATATCATATAATTTATTAGGTAAGTATGTATTGACATTTTGGATTGTTGGCTTAAAGTAGGTAAGATAATTTTTGGTTGAAAATAAAAAATTATTTTATTTATTGTCAATGAAGCTTTTTTAGATTTCACAATAAATTAAAAGGGTGATATATATATATATTCTTTATAAATATAAAAAAATTAAAATAAATATGTGTATTAATTTTTTAATTTCATTTGTAAAATTAAAAAATTGAAATTAAATAATTTCACAAATAGTGTATCAAAAGTAAATTTATATGTATTAATTTTAACACAATTTATAAGTTGGATATAAATTTTTATTTTTTTTCAATTTAATTTTATATTAAACTTTTATCATTTAACATATGAAAAATAATGCTGGGCTCTTAGCTTCTTACAGCAAAAATAATATGTAAATTATTATCTCAACCAATGGATAGTTCTTGAAATGAAAATTTCATGACAAAAATGGTAGCATATATTTACATATGTTTATACTTCATTTTTTTTTATAAAAAATAATTAAGAATAGGAGAAGATATTGTATATATTAAAATTTAAATTTAAATTTATCAAATCTCATCTCTTAAAATTGATCGTCTGAATCAATTGAAATAAATTTTAGATTTTATATTTTAAAATATATGAAATTTGTCTTCTCTTAATGCAATTTGTCGCAAATCTAATAAATTCATGTCTTAATGAAAAAAATTAAAAAATTTAGATTTTTTAATTAAAGTTTTATTTAATTATATATTTATTAATTCATTATTTCTCTTCAATAAGTTAGATGGCAAAAATGATAGTAGGATCCACTCCCACATGCTTCTCAACTCCCTTCCTTTATCACAAAATTTAAGATCTGTAACAAAAATATATATTTGATCTAAGTAATATCATCTGAATATTTCCCATATATCAAACTTTATCAGAAATTAATTGAGCTTTCCTAAACTTTGTCATTGAAAAATGGCAGATCCATGTTTCCTGCAAAATTAATGATGCTTTCCTCCATAGAAAGACACATTTCACTATAATTTATACATATTTTTTTATAAAAATATATTATCTCACATGTCCAGGTGGTCTGAAAATTTAGTCAAGTTTGATTTTAATCTTGATTAATTAAATTGATCTTGATTTAAACTCGAGTTTTATCTCCGTCACCAACAAAAGAAAAAGTGATTTCCCAAACATGGTAATTGTTGAAAAAAAAAATTAAAATTTTTTGTCTTAAAAATTTTAAATTATTTGTGATTTTATATTTAAAATGAATTTTTTTATATATGATTAAATAATTTTAAATTTGATGTTTAATATGATATAAAAATAATTTTAGTAAAACTTTATGTAATTCATAAGTAATAAATCTGGTTGGCTTATATTTAATTAGAATCAAACAAACAATGCGGCCAGTCAAAGTATAAATAAATACTAACATAAAAACCATGAACTAAACCATTGTTCCAAGTAGATTTTTGGTGAGAGGCGTTGCTTCATCATAAAGCCAACAACCACCTCTTTCAAGAAAACTTGGCCTTCTTGACTTTTTTTTGAAGCTGGCAATTGACTGTTGCCCCCACACCTACTCCTTTTCAAAAGCAGTTTAACCATTTTCTTTGGTACTAAAAACCACCATTACGTATTCATGAGTGCAAGTTTTGGACAAGAATCTTAATGTGATTTTTTTAGACAAACCGACAAATCTGAATCCTACCCATTGTACCAAACATGTGTTATCTTGTCATGGAAAGGTAACAGGAGTCTAAGGATAAGCAGCCAAGACTAACAGAGTAAGGTTCCATTTTGGCTAAAGAAAACATTATTGGTGGTGTACTTTATTCCAAGGAAACTTCACTGCATTTCTCTGTATGCTTTTCCAATGGCTGTTGTCTAGCTTTTTTTTGGAGGTTAGTTTCTTATCTGGGTTGTCCTTGTTTGCTTCTGGGTACTTTTGAGTTCAGCTTCGTCATTGCCTATGCCAATTGAATGTATTCTTTGTTTTTGGCAATTTTGGGTCAATTTTTTTCAGTGGGTTGCTTTTGGTTTTGTTAAATTATGAAACTTTGATTGCTTTTGGATCTGCTCATTCCTCAAGAGTAAACGCTGTGAGAAAAAGAAAAAAGGCATTTCTTGTTCCATTATTCTGGCCTATATATATTGATGTCTTCAGCATGTTTTTGATATTTTGAGATCTGATTTTTTTTGGAAGATTGTGAAGCTATAAATTCACACGTGCCATTTCTATGTTTAAAATATTTCTTTTCTTTAGAAAGGAGGTATCTTCTTCTGAAATTTACTTAGAAAATGCTGAATTAGCTCATTATTAGTGGCAGTTGATTGATTTAGGTCATTGCTTGTGGATGCTGTAAACAGCTGAGCAAGGTTTTAAGTTTGATTTCTTTCAAGATAGTAATAACCTGGAAATACAGGTTATAAACTGTGCAGTTTGGGACAACTTACTGTCTGAAACTTAGTACCATCTAACTTCCTTTTTTTTTTTTGGTTGAAGTGTGCCTCTAATTTCACTCATTTCATACCAAATGCCACCGTAGAGTTTCTGTTTCTGATAGAATTTATACCCTTGGGTCACAGTTAAGTTAATAGGCCGAGGTAGAGGCGAGCGAGGCTGTTACAATTGATTTATGAAATGGAATTTGGCCTCATTTTGTTCTTATTTGTGGCTTCCATCCCTGCAATTTCGGCTGAAGATGTTAGTCATGGGGCAATTGTCGTTGATGGGACTACTACTGTTGCTCAAACTGATAATAACTTTATCTGTGCTACAATTGATTGGTGGCCTCATGATAAGTGTGATTACAACCAGTGTCCATGGCACTATACATCTGCAATAAATCTGGTGAGGCTTAAAAGGAACTATCATCTTCATAAGATTAAATGGTTTTTTGTAGGATTTAAGCTTCTGGAAGAATTGAAGCAATTTAGTAACAGCTCAACTGCTTTTCTTTTTAACAGGACTTGTCTCACCCTTTCCTCGCCAAAGCTGTCCAAGGTTTGTATTTCAGTAATGATATAGCTCTCTTTGTAACATAGATGTTATGAGTGTGTTGTTGGGTTTTTTTTTTGTCCTGAAGCATGATGCTACTATATGTTCCTGACACTGTTAGCTTTCAACCGTTTGAGGATAAGAGTCGGAGGCTCTTTGCAAGATCAAGTATTGTATAATGTTGGAAATTTGACGTCTCCTTGCCATCCGTTTAGAAAGATGAAAGATGGGTTGTTTGGATTTTCAAAGGGATGTTTACACATGGAAAGGTGGGATGAGCTGAACCATTTCTTCAAAGCATCCGGGTAAGATCTTAGCATTTCAAATACCATTCTCCCTCTTCACCAAAAGGAAAACTGTTTTCAGCCTAAAGATGTGCATAATGCCCATTAACTTAAGTGTCTTCAACTAATTATTTTCTTATTCGAAATTCAAACATTAAATGATTAACCGAATTAGATCAACTAATTCGGTTAGTAACCTAACTAATCAAATTTTAGGGCTCATAGACCCTAACACAGTACAAAGTGAATAAAATAAAATTATGGAATCCCGATGGCATCGTAAGTCTAAAAACATTAAAATGTTCTAGCAAAAATACTTACTTAAAAACGTTAAATTTTACAAGAAAAATACAATAAGATCATTTTATTTTCCTTTTTTTAGATAAGGTTTATTTGGTGGCTTAAATGGTTATTGTATATACATATGATGACTATAAAATTTCTTGTACCCTAGGTGATTGTTATAGCAACATGTATATTTTATTAAAATTTTTCCCTGAGTTTATTCTTAGACTCACAAGGTTTTTCTATTTTATGGAGTGCATTAGGCTTATGCTGCTGATAGAATTATCATTTGAATTCTTCATTTGCAGTGTAATGTTGACATTTGGCTTGAATGCACTCCATGGGAGACACAAAATAAAGAGGAGCCTTTGGGGAGGGGATTGGGACTCTACCAATGCACATGATTTTATGAAGTACACCATTTCAAAGGGATACCAGATAGATTCATGGGAATTTGGTACTGAATTTTAGACAAAGCGCTTTACATATCCGTTCCATCTTTCACTTTTTACCTATAATATTGCCTTTGTTGTTTCAGGTAATGAGTTGAGTGGAAATGGTATTGGTGCACATGTTCTTGCTGACCAGTACGGGAAAGACTTGATCTACCTTAAGAAAATTATAAATGAGTTATACAAAGGCTCCCAATTTAAACCATCGCTTGTAGCACCTGGAGGATTCTTTGACCAAGAGTGGTTTGCTAAGCTTCTTCAGATCTCAGGCTCAAGCATACTTGATGCCATGAGCCATCACATGTACAATTTGGGTGCAGGTGAGTTGGGTAGTACTAAATTATTTTGCAGGATGTACTTATACAGCCCACTCCCTAAAAAAATGAACTATTGCCTTAGAATCAATAGTCATAAGATGAATGCTCAAGAAATAATTTGAAATAATCCTAAATAATATTTTCTGAATTTTCATCTGAAATCAATATTCACCTAAGGTTTGGACAAACCATCAATTGTTGTGTTTGTTGGTTTCAATGCATGGATACATTACTGTTTGATCCTGCTTCCATTTAGTGCTTTTGAGCCCTGTTTTTGTTTCAGGTGTTGATCCCAAACTTGTGAGTAAGATATTGGATCCCAACCACTTAAGCAAGGCAGCAGATACATTCAGCAATCTTACACACCTAATCCGGAGGCATGGCCCTTGGGCTTCTGCTTGGGTTGGAGAATCTGGTGGGGCCTATAACAGCGGGGGTCGTCATGTGTCTGATACATTTGTCAACAGCTTCTGGTATTCACACTTTCCCAACTGCTTTAATCATCTTTCTCCTCACTTTAGTTATGTTTTTCAATCGTTATAAAAGATTAAGTTTACCACTAATATATTGTTGTCGTATATGAATGCTCAAGTTTTCTTTCCCTTATACATGATTTTAGGTATTTAGATCAGCTTGGGATGGCGTCCAAGTACCATACTAAAGTATATTGTAGGCAAACACTAATTGGTGGGAACTATGGTCTTCTCAACGCGACAACATATGTTCCCAACCCTGATTATTACAGGCAAGAGCAAGAGAGTTTAAATTCTTTATTGGAGTGTATACATTCTAGTTTGTTTTGCTTGTGTGTTATATATATGTTTGATCAAATTGAAGGGCTAGGGGGTAACAAAGAAGAAGATACTGAAATGTTTTTTTATGTATGACTGTGCTGAATTTGTATGCAGAGTCCTTAATACCTTTTTGTTTAAATGGTCCTTAACAGTGCACTTCTATGGCATCGGTTAATGGGAAAAGTGGTTCTAGCTGTTGATGGTGATGTGTCACCCTTTCTGCGATCTTATGCCCATTGTTCAAAAGGAAGAGTAAGTCCATTTTTATTTTGCTTTTATTCCACTTTATTCTTAAATAAAGACGATTAGGAGAATGCAGGAATCCTAACTCTAAGGTTGACAGCGGTCCAAAAAGCGTCAGATTCTTATATTTCTAGCTGTATTAAATATGGTGGAGAAGCTTTGAATCCATCACTTTTTTTAACTGATTCATAACCCATTGCAAAGAAAATTTTCTTGCTGCTGGTCCCGTTTTAGCTTTTGTCATTGGCAGATCTACTCTAAGAAAGATCCCACCTATTGCTATGGACCAAGCTAATAACAAGCATACCAACTTGCCTAATTATGTCCACTTTTAGTTGTGTTTTTACTAGCTTGTTTAGCAGGGCTTAAGGTTAACTAATGTGAGATATTGCCTGAGTTTCTCTTTGGGGTCACACCTAGAATTTGATGGCCCACACTCCATGGTTTACTTATTTGAAAATTCCCTTAATCATGTCCCTCTTCTCTTCAATTAATGCACACTATCAAACATTTCAAACCTGAAATTCATTCTTTAAAATGAGTCAACCAGGCAGTGATTTCCCATCTAGGCGATGAGATTGCTGCTATTCATGTTTAATTTGCTTTGTATGATTTTAGGAACTTTTATTCCTTAACAGCGGATTACTAATAAGTACCATCAGGTTTTGACATGAAAGTGAACATAACAACTGAACCATTCTGCATCATGTCCTTGTTTCAGGCACATGAACAATAGGACATGTCTGCTATTTGTTGACTTTTTCATATAATTCTTATCATTTTCCTATGAAATTGTTTTCTGAAATCATAGAGCCAATTAGATTTTATTTTTTGACTATGATCTTGACATCCTGTTGCAGGCTGGTGTAACTTTACTTGTGATCAACTTGAGCAATCAGACAAATTTCATAATGAATGTTCAAAATAGTATCAACCTCAAGTTGACTGTGAAAGAACAAAGCATTAGCAGGGACAGCTTCAAACATAGTCTTAAGAAAACTTTTTCCTGGGTTGGGGTTAAAGCTTCCGATGAAGCACTATTCCGAGAGGAGTATCATTTAACTCCGAAAGACGGATACCTTCAAAGCCGAACCATGGTTCTCAATGGCATTCCTTTAGAACTTACAGGTACTGGAAACATCCCAAGGCTAGACCCTGTCCATGTTAACGTGAAGTCTCCAATATCCATCTCTCCTTTGTCGTTTGCATTCATAGTATTCCCCAACTTCCAAGCTCCAGCTTGTGGATGATTTTCCATTTTCCTTACAGCAGCAATGCAATAATGAAGTGTTGACTATGATAATTGTATAATAGCAGAATCGTTTGTTTTTGGCAATATTGTTTTGAGCAATTGTAATTATCAGTAGTTTCTGCAGCTATTTTATGTGGAAAATAAGCGCAGTTGTATTATTAATCATTATTATGTTTTATGTAGTGATCTTTATTATATTAATTAATCTCAGGCCTGTCCCTTTCTTTCTTCCCCTTTTTTTTTTTTCTGGAGTTTAAACAATGATTCTGTTTGTCATTTTCTTGGTTACAAAATGGAACATCATATGACTGTCATAAATTGAAGGGCAGCACAAGTGTAAGACATGTTCCTCTCCTTTTCAAAATTGCAAATTTCATTAATACAACTGTGACATTTGATCATTCTCGATCTTCAATTCCAGCTTTCAGCTGTTTATATAACACACAACATATTGATACAATAAAGCTGCAGATAATGCTAAAGAATGAGTTTATCATATCTACAATACAATTACAAACACCAGTGACTTCGAATAATTATCAGAACCTTTTCCCTAGCATAGTAAAAGAATACAGTACTAAATATGAGTCCCATACTTTATCGGAACCCATGGCTATGAGGTTTCTAGTAATCAGGTTGGTCTTCTTCACGCTTAGACTACACCAAAAAATCTGTGTCAGAAAGTTCAAGGACCTTGTGTGCACCAATGAGGTTTACACCAGGCCGGAATCCATTTTCTTCAATATGCCTGCAATTGGCATAAAAAGGAAGTTTGATATTTTATTTCTTTTTCACATTAGCAGTGTCCCAAGAGGCTATTTTCCTCGCAAATTAAGTGATGAAGGCAACTCACAATTCTTTCAAGGAAGGATGCTTATAGAATGCATCAGGAATCCTGCCCGAGAATTGGTTATGATCCAAGTACCTGTTATTGTTAAAGTTCAAGGGCAGCAGTTAAACATCAGGACAAAAAATTTCATCCAGTAAAAGAAATGCAATGATCACGAAAAAGGCATTTCCAAAAAAATAAAAAGTTGCCCCACAAGAAAACCAGTCCAAATTTCAAAATCAAACTAGAATTGAGTGTTTAAGAAAATCTCACAAATATGTCAATTTAGGAATATGGGCAAGTGCTGATGGTACAGCTCCAGACATCTTGTTGTATGAAAGGTACCTGTAACCAATACAAAAAAAAAAGTTACAGGGGATTCAAAAGACTTAAAAGAAAAAAATAGCATAATACAAATTGCTTAGATTATTACTTAAATAAATATATTATTGGCACTTCAATATCTCCAAATTTGTCAAATTTGCCAGCTGAGCAGGAATTCCTCCAGTCAAATAATTGTTATTTAAATACCTGCATGCAAACCTTAAGAAAACTGTGTACCGGACCATATAGCAATTAAAATAATAGATAACAAGAGTTTCATAACACATTAACAATTAAAATATAACATACAAATTCCGTAGAACTGGAAAGCCTCCTTCAATATGAATAAGCTCCCTAATGGTACCTACCAAATGATTACGACCAACATCCCTGGAGAAGAAAAATAATCATTTAGCATAATAAGGAAAAAAGTCTGCCAATAAAGGATAAATGCTAAAGGTTATAGAAAGGTACAGCAGATAGTCGACAGAATATTACAAGTGCTGAAGGTTTTGTAAAGTGCCCAATTCTGGTGGAATTCGCCCAGTGAAACGGTTTTCTTGAAGGTAGAGATAGCGAAGCTCTGGTAGATTTGCAAGTTCTTTTGGAATCTCACCCTTAAAATTATTGAAGCTCAGAGACCTGACGAAATTTCAATTAGATATTTCTGAACTCATTCCAGCATGCATATACATACAAACACATGCAACAATAAGAGAGAAAAAGAGAGATTTCTGCAACTATAAAAAAATACTCACAGATAGGGTTAGTCTTTTCAGCTCACCAATCTCAGGAGGAAGGACATCTTGGAGTTTATTCCACCTCAAATTTCTGTACAATTTGTCAGAAGTTAGTCATTGAATTTTTAAAGAAAGATATTCTCAGATGAAAGATAACAAGATTTTGAAGAAACTAAAATGTTTTGGCCTACAATTTTATCTTCCATTCTTTCATTAAAAAAGAATGGCACTTCTAAATATTTGGTCTAGAATTGGCACATAGTTAATATCCAACGATGAAGCTCGGATCTACCAATGAGTGTAACATAGCAAGTAACGGTAACATGGTTCAAATATTTTATATAACATGCTGTAGCCTAGATGGTGTATATGGTATACTTCAGAGCCATTACTTCAGTAATAACAAAGACATAGGTCTCATACTTGCTTCACTTTCAGCAAAATACAGTATAAAACTGTTTTGAAGAAAAACAAGAGCACAGAAACTCTAAGTGAAACTCAAAGGAAAGTATAAGAATTGAGTCAATCCATACTGAGATCTAGAGAAAGATAGAGTTATTATGAATTCTCCCACACCAATAGCAGTTTACAGAAGAAGAAAACATACAACATTCTAAGTCGTCTCAGTCGTCCAATTTGGGGAGGAATTGGGCCAGTCAGCTTGTTGTTATGGAGATCCCTGCCACATTAGCAAAGTCAAGAAGGAAAAAAGGTTCTACTAAGAACTCTCAAATTAATTTTAGAGGCTAAAACATCTAAATGGTAGTACCAATGCTTATGATTATTTTGCATATATAATTACTTTTATGTTAGTGAGAACCAAGCCTAACCACATACTAAGATACTACATGATTCATTATTTCATCACTGTCTCAGGGGATTGTAATTTATGTAAACAACTAAAAGCATTGAATGCAAATGAGTGATGTATAAATTATGCACATGAACTTATAGACATTGCAAATCCATATTTAGGTGTGGTAAGGCAATTGATGCAGGTGAAAAAATATTGGGGCATTATAAAAAAGGTGAACAGAAGAATCTATGCTTGCATCCAGCGCAATGTTTTTCTCCCTTTTTATCCACTCCTTACTAGAAGAAAGAAGAAAAGTGCAAAGGTCGCTTATTCATTTATATATGCATACTGCTTTCAAATGCCAATTTCGTCTGCATGGTCTACGGATCAAAAACAGGAAATGACACTCAAGTACATGCAATATTCTAAATTCTAAAAGACTCCAAAAGAACTTATGGGCATTAAAACTTGATCTTGTAATTTGCAGCTCTGGTTCACAAGGGATTTGATTGCCACTTTGAAGCACAGTCAGGACACAAATAACAAGGAGCAGGCTTTGTTGATCCTTGAAAAAAAAATATTTTAGCTTATTAGGCAAGAAAGAGTGAACTTACAGCCTTGTTAAATCCAACAAATTAGTTACAGCAATAGGAAAAGGACCAACGATTGATACTGCATATACTTCCCTGTAAAACAAAATGGTCATAATCATGAGCCAAGGTTAAAGTCGATACAAACCAATAGAATTACATACAATAGTGAATCAAGGCAGAAAAGTATATTCACTTAAGTATCTTTCCCCTAACCCTAACATAAGTTATAGATAGAAGTTGGAATAAATAATAGAATAAGAAAGAGAAATACATATGAATTCAACCATGGCAGAAAAGTATTCACCTGAGTATCTTGCATAGGATATCGATACAAGTTGGAAAAACATAGAAAGAGAAAGCAAAAGGCATTTGAATAGTTCATTAGGTAGCATTAATGAAACAAAGTTTATTAAGACACAAATTAAGAATTTTAAAACAGGATGCATAGTAGCTATGGTACTTACAATTCAGTAACAACTCTATAGTCTCCTTGAGTAGAACATGTTAGACCAGACCAAGGTGATAAATCACCATCCTCACAGGGATCATCCCAATCCAGGAATATACCACTCTCCATCCAAGTGATGCTTTTATCTCATTTAAGGCTTTTACTGCAACAAAAATACCAACAATCAAACTATTGCATTGGCACATTTACATTCTATTTAAATCTTCAAAATGATGATATCTACATCAACGGTAACAATAAACATCAGAGACATCCCTAAAAGCCAACTTAAAAGTGCTAACTGTTCTATTTTGCAATCGGGAAAACAGATTCTTAGATTTTAACCAAAAATAAAGAGTCAAAGCCATTAAAAAAAAGAACAATTTAAGTAAATTTATCTCCTAAGTTGCTCTATAAAAGTTCAAGCGAAATGTGTAGAAAGTTAAACTCACATTAACAAATAATTAAGCAAGAACCATTTCTAAAAAGATCCAAAAATAACAAAAGAAGCAAAAAGATCACAACTTTAATTCAAAAAAATGAACACAATGACTAAAAGAACCAACTCACTTGGTACCAAAAAAATGGGTTCTTTTTAGTTCAATGAAATGAACAAGAATGACATTCTGGGTATGGTAAAAAAAAAAAAATTCCTTTTTCTTATTTCTTTCCACATTTTCTCAGTAACCAAACAGAGCAAAAAAAAAAAAAAAAAAGAAGGAAGATCTAGTGGAAAGAGCAAAAAGAAAACTTACAATCTCTCGAGAGTTTTGGTGTGAGCGACAATGCAAATCAAAGTTAGTGGCCAACGGGCCGCCATTGTTTTGGGTACAGGGAGATCGAAGCCCAAGGATACTGAAAATAAATCTTTTTTTTAATATACTTTTATATGTTAAATTGCAGATCAGGGTAAAGTCGCCAACTTTTCTTTTCTATCAAAATATTTTTCTAATATTTACAGAGTAACTTTTGCTCTGAAGTTTGTCTTTGGCCTTTGCCGAGAGATGAACACGAGGGAAAAAGGGTAAAATGCCCCCATGGTAATTTTTTATTTAAATTGTATATTTTTTTATATTTTATATAAAAATTATATTATAGTTCATATTATTCACGAAATAATTTTATTTATTTAATTTAAAAATATATAAATTATTTTTTAAAAAATTATATTCAGATTTTTAAAACTCAAAATATATATAAAATTTATTTATATTGATTTGTCATTAAAAAATAATTTTTCTAAAATAGTAAAAGAAATTATGTATATTTTTTAGATATTTTTGACAATAATATTCATTCACTTACAAAATTATATCAAATAAAAATAAATTATATTTTTTAAAATAAAAAATATATTATTGAATAATAGATTAAATAATAAAAAATATTAATATACTTTCACTTTAATAATTTTAATTTAATTATTATATAAAATATAAAAAATGTTAAAAAATATGTGAAAAAAATAAAAAATAAATTTTAAAAATTTTTATTTTTCATAAAAATTAAAATGTAATAATAATAAAATATATCTTGAAAAAAAATTATAAAAAAAATTGCAATAGTTATAGAATATATCTTTAAAAAAAAAGTTACTTAAAAAATAAAAATTTTGATGTGTAACACATTACATTTATACTTTTAAATCTGTAGCAACATTTTTTAGTGGTAATTAAGATTAAAGAGATAACTTTTAAATTAATTTTTTTAAATTAAAAAAAAATAATAAGTGATAAAGATAATATTAAAAAATTTTGCATTTATTTGAAAATAAATTTAATAATTAGAGTTTAAATAGATTTAATCACTTTGATAATCTTATTATTTAAAAATTTAAGATGAAAATTTTTGAATTTTCAAAATCTTACATAAAGTTACTTGAATTTTAATGTTTTAAATAAAGTTTTTTAAAAAATAATTTTTTAAATTAAAATAAAAAAATAGTTGAAAGATTTGGATAAATTTAGTTTTTATAATTTTTAAACATGTTTGAAAATTTTTGATAATTAAATAATTTTTTAAATAAAATTATTTGATAAACAACTAAAATTATTTATTAAAAAAATTCATATTTCATATTTTTAATTTTAAAAAATATATCATTAAATTGATTTAATTTTCAATTATAATTTGAATAAATTTAAAATTATATAATTTGTAATTAAAAAAATTATCTTATTTTTTTAAAAAACTATCCTATATATCATTTAAAAAAACTATTTACATATAGGTACCTATGTGACAAACTTGTATATATTATTATCTAATATATATATATATATATATTATATTGGTGTTGATATAAAAATATAAAATATATTTTTATTTTTTAAATTTATTTATAATTTTTGTTAAAATTTTAAATTATATTATCGTTGTGTTTTTTATTTGTATTATTTTTGTATTGTGTAATCAAATTGTGTTTAAATTTGTTAGATGAATAAAAATTATACTAATATTTTTGGACAGTGAACTTTTTTTTTAATAAAAGAGGGATAAAAGAGAATTTTGAATGTCAATTTTATATCTTTACATTTTTATTTTTAAAAATTTTTTAAAAAATTAAAGAAAATTAGGGGGTGGCTTTATTTTTTTAAGTGACTTAAACATCAAATCAAAATACTTAAAAAAGAATTTCATATAATTTTTATAATTATTACTTTTTTATATTTTTGAAATAATAATTTTTTTATCATATAAAATCTCAAAATTTTTATCATCCAAATTCAAATTTCAAATTCCAATTTCTACTAGATTTACGTTTACCCTTATTTAGGAGAATTTCAAATTGGATATATTTAAAAAAATAAAAAAAATTAATCAATCTCTTTGAAAAAAAATCAATTAGTTCCCTTTAATAATTGAACGTAATCAAATAAATATACACAGATCAATTCAATCAATTCGATAAAAAATATATCGATCAATTTTGTAATAATTTTTGTCTAATCAATGTCGTATTTATTATTTTTAAAAATGTGAATAAAATTTTGTATATATATTTATATTATATAATATTTAAAAATATATTAAAAATATCAATTAATTCAATCCATTCAACTATTAATTTTAAAAATAAAAAATAGATCAAATTAATCAATTAAAATTCTTTATTTAATGAATTATTATAGAAATCAAACGAACTAAATTGATTTAATGAACATTAAAATTCAGGTGATTTCTTCCTATCAAGTTGATTGTAAATCTATCTAATATATTTAAAAATTATATAAATCTCGCTCAAAAGGAAAAAAAATCCAAAAAAGTTTATAAGTACTGAAATTTTAACTTTAGATAACTAAAGATTACATTTTAAAAGTGATTGTACGAATCAACTGAGTTAGACTCGATTTATCCTTTATATTTGTTTAATGTTTGTCATAAGACTAGAAAGTAGAAAGAATGAAAGGGGAAAATTGATAAACCAACAAAAAAACAATGGTAAAGAGGTGAACTGTCTACCAATGTAGGAGAAACAGAAGGGTTAGAAAGGATGGCAGAGCATTAGCAAGCAAGTCTCAGAAGCAAAATCTTGAGAGAAAATCTACTTTCCAAGTAATCTACGAGCACGTTGATTGGCACCTTTCACACGGAAATTTAGCTCATCCACATCATCTTGGAGACCATTCAAGCCTTTATTTTGCCTGCAATAAGCATTGAGTGTGGCTAATGTCAAATTTACTTTATATAACCAAAAATGCAGGCAAAATACACCAGAGTTCATGACCAAAATGGAAAATCGACGTATCAAGTGACTTGCTTCCTCTTTAGCAATGTAAAATTAGATGATTGAAAGACTAAATAAAGTTGAAATTCTAATGACCATTTGAGAAAATTGACAAAAAAACTAACCTCTCAATTTCAGATCCCATATCAATGGCCATATCCTTCAGCTCTTCCAATAGATCGCTTAAATCGGAGAGAGCATCGTCCTGCTTTGCCTTCTCAACCTATTTTGCCAATCCCAAGAGAAGAAATAAATATCATATTCATCAAGAAGCTTAGATTAGTGGGTTCTTCCATGCCTCCCATTCATACACAACATACCTCAACTTTTTGAAATGCATTTGTGGGTTCAGGGGGTGGTGTTTGAGATTTGGAATGTCCCCTAGGAACATGATTCAATCCCAGCTTCTCCCTCTGTTCCAAGTGGCCACCCCTTCTCTTTGGTGAATCATCTGTAGACCAAGTAAATTACACATACAGTTAAGACAAAAAATGCAACAAAAAGGACATAAGCAGAAAACAATTCCAAAGTCACTGCCAACCTTTAATTACAGGAAATCATGCATTCAGGTTTTTTAAAATACGGGGAGTAAAAGAGCAGATAATTCAAGGAGGATATGGAAAGAAAAATGACCTCTTGTTATAACAGGGCCTCGTATTGTATGAGCCTTCTTCGGCTTCCAAGTTTTTGAGAACATGCCTCCAAGACTTCCCAAAAGCTTCTCACCCTGAAACCAGAAAGAAACTATCATTAAGAGTGTCCCTTTAATTGACATTTAAACTTAGGCTCTAAATTTATGCCGTCAAAAAGTCACAGAAGCATCCGATAAGAGATGCCATTTAACAATCAAGTGAAACGATTTTGTGAATTTAAACAAAAACAATATTTTCACACAAAGGAGGAAATGAAAGATTAGGGATAAGAGATAAAGAAAGATGAACATGCATAAAGGAGCAAATTTTCATGGTACTCCAAAGTTAGAAAATTCTGATATTCAACTACTTCATCTTTCTTTTAAAAAGTGGCAATTCCACCAAGATACAATTACTTTCTTTCTAGTTAAACTATTAACATTACTATCTATTTTAAAGACTAGTTTACTTTCTGCGTTTGATCAGAGATTTCCCTTTATAATCTCTCTGAAGAGGCACATTTCGTGACTTACATAACATGAGCAGGTGGTCCAGATGATCCATGCAGTGTCAAGGCAGATGGTCTAATGGTAGATCAGAGACATTGGAGGTGGCAAAGCAAGTAAGACAGCAGCTTTTACAAAGCTGTGAGTAGGTTAGGTGAGTGATCATATATGTCCCAAGCAGGTTTCTTACAAAGTAGTCTATTGGATGAAGAATGGAGGGTTTCCCATTTCTAAAGTTTCAGAACATGATGGCAAGAACACTTCATTGCAAGATTGTGACGTCACGGAAAATACTATCGTTCAATCCTTTAAAAGAGAAACTCAAACCTCATTCGGAATTTAATTTTAGGGGACTCTTTATGATCATCATGTTAGCAACATGAACAAACCCAAATATCATCACCTTTATGAAAATATAAATTGTAAGAAAGAAGTGATCCAATTTTTTTTTTTTTTGTATTCTATGGCTAGTCTTCAATCATCTAGCATATGGTTTTGCCTTTCAAAACAAAAGACCTACCCGACTAAGGTCATGTTCTATGCCAGCAGCCACATTGTGGGTCCTGGTAATTTGCTCACCCTGCTGATGTAAGGTGGTCAAAGTCTTGGTGGCACCCTCTCTCATTTCTTCTGCAATCTTCACACAGTTATTCACAGTCTTTGTAGTCTCCTCAGCCTTGTAGACAGCGTAGTTCTCCAATTCCTGCACTGATTGGTTCTCTACTCCTCCGGAGTCACGGAAATCATTCTTATACTTGTTCCGTGACGCTGAAGTTTGCCAATATGAAGAAGAAGAAGAAGAAAATTTCACTTTCTCTTCATCATCATCAAAAGGATTAGTCCCAAAATTAGGAGGATTCAGCGCAGGTTCAGAAGAAGTTCTTCTGGAAGGTTTAAGGGTTTGCTTATTGTCCAACTCGTCATCAGAATCAAAAGGGTTGGACCGAGGAGCAACAAGCCCAGGATCAACTGAATTGTGCTTAGCAGTCTTCAATGGAGATTTCTTTAAACTTAACATTCTTTTAATGAGCAAAAATATACTAATTGATCAAGCAGCTGACAGGAAGAAGTCAAATATTATTTAATCTGCAAAGCAATCAAAGTTCACATATTAGATCATGGCAGAAAAGAAATATAGAGAAATAAGGCAAAAATCCAACGAATTCTGTATGTAATCCTATCCCTTTCAATTAGATACAAACCAAACATAACATAGAATGATTATCATACTATCCTATCCATCATCCTAGGCACCAAACATGACATAAGTAGGTAACATATGCATTAAATTCTGGGCACCAAAGGTGAAATAATCAGGAAGATTATGAAGTTCAATTTCCAAAACTTTTTTCTTTTGAAAAGAGGGACCTTCAATGAATAAGCAGTCTCCTTCACACTCTTCCTTTTGATAATATTATGGAGAAGGGAAAAAGTTACCATGTAATACTTGAGAAAAGGGACTTAAAAGGGATTCAAAAGGCCAAAAGCAACAAAATAAAACTAGAACTTGATCAACAATCACATACAAAGTAACATAATCAGAAACAACAATACCCATGACCAGAAAAAATGTTAAAATCCTAAATTTATCATCAAAGAATAATTACACTTAGTTGACTTGGGATTTTTACAAAGGACCAATAGGGAAAAAAAACCTTCAGATTCCCTAAGTTTTCACGACAGGCAACCAAACATAGAAACAAAAAGAGACCCATGAAGCAAACATCAAAGAAAAAACCCAAAAGGAAACCCATCAAGAATTAAGATATCCATCAAGTCTGCCCAGAAATTTAAAAAAAAAAGGGACAAAAATAACCAAAATCATCCATATAATACAAGAAAAAGAGAAAATAAAACTGGGTTTTGTTTGGTTAACCTGAAAGTTCCATTTGTTTCAACAAGAACAAGCAAGAAAACTAAAACAACCCATACACAGAAATTAAGGCAAAAATGAAAGAAAAAAAAAAGATAGAACTTTGGGGAGTACCTGAAGAAATGGAAATGCAGAGAAAATCTTGCAAAATTTAACAGAAAACGAAGATCAAAGTACAAAATCGAAAGAAAGGAAAAGTTTTTTAATGGTTTGTCAAAAATTCATAAGGAGTTTTAAAGAGAGAAGAGAGAGGATGCATGAGACGCCTCAGATACTCAAAAAGAGACTCTTGAAAATGGAAACTGGCCAGACTGTAATTATTAGTATTATTATTTAATTTAAAAAAATCTTGTCTCTTACCATTTAATTTTTTTTTTTTAAAAAGTGTGCTCTTTCTTTTATCTGTTAAAAATGTAAAAAGATAAATTTTTATAAATTTATTAAATTTAATATAAACAAATTGGTTATATTATACAAAATCTATAACATTTTTGTAATTTAACTTTTTGAAAAGGATTTCTATTTAAAAAAATATTTTTACTTTTTTTTTTTAACAATTCAATCATGAACTTGGTAGTACGCACCCCATTTTGACCAAACTTCAACCACTTTATTGATGGTAATTTCTTAAATAAAATTATAAATTTAAATGATAAAAAATATTTTTTTTATTATTCAAGTTTAAATTCGTTAAGAAATTACAAATTTTTTTTTTATAAATCCATTAGATTTGATGTAAATAAATTTGTTTGATTTAATTTAAAAAAATTATCAAAACACAATTTTTTAATAAAAAGTATTATTTTATTAAAGTTTTTTAATTTGGTCTTGAAATATTATTTTAATCATAAAAAATATTTTTATTTAATTTTAATTTTAAACTATATTTCAAATAATAATATATTAAATTCAAATTATTTTTAATATTTTGAGGAACTTCAACCCACAAATTTAAATGAGAGAAGGAATTTTTAAAAAATCTTTTAAATGTATTAACGACCTTGATTTGATCGGACATTATTTTTCATATTTTTATATTAAAAATTATAAAATATTAATTTTTAAAAAAACAAATTTAAAAAAAATGAAAAAAAAAAAAAAAAACCATCCCTTTCTCCGTTATGGCTTGATAGCAACTGAAAATTGATGTCCAAGACTCCATCCAAATACTAAATTGAATTTTAGATTAACAATGCCGGCAAACTTCTCCAACCAAGTTATTATTAACAAAAATAAATGCAATAATAGATGAAGACAAAGAGGAATTTGATTAGATCTTGGCTTAATAATAATTAAATAAAATCACTTGGTCACTTCTTTTATACAAAGGGCTACTTTGAATTCTATTCTTTTCTTAGGGTGATTACGCAATAGATTATAATATTTTATTTCATTTTCATTAATATATTTATGTTTAAATATATATCTCAATTATTAATTTTTATTTTATCGTTATAATATTTAATTTTATTATTATCAAATAAATCTTATCATTTTCTGTGACATTTCAATTTCATGTTAGGGTATTATGAAAATCTATTATAATATATAAATAAAGAATTAAATCCAAAATTTATGAAATATTTTTTATGAGATAAAACTGTGAAACTTTCAAGTCAAAATAGATAATATTTCATAAGTTGAATGCGAATATTCACAAATGATATCAGAACGATTATCAATCAAATAGGGAGGTAAATACTACATCGTGAAAACTATCTCTAAAATTTTACAAGAGTTAAGTGTTACGACGAAAGTCATCTCTATAATCTTAATGTCTAGTGTAATCTTGATTTTTTGGTTCTGTGTGTGTCATATTGTACTTTTGTGTATACTTTGTGTTGAACTTGACAAGATCGTCAAATTTTAACTGAAAAGTTTATGATATTCCAATTTCACATCGGTATATTCTAAAGACCTACTATAATATATAAATAGAGGTTTAAAACTTACGAATTACTTTTTGTAAGATAAAATCGTGAGAGTTTCGAATTAAAAAAAATAATACCTCATAAGTTAAATGCGAATTTTTACAGTTTCATCACTATATTTAATATTATTAAAATCAATTTTATTATTGATCTAAATAAACCATACCAATATATGAGTGAAGGACAAATACGAATCTTTTTTTACTCCAATTTCATCATGCCACGTAAGTTTTAATCGAAATGGCATTAAAACAAAGCAATCTTATGAATAATGGCAATTAAAAAGAAAAAAATTTTTAATTGAAAAAAAGTGTGATACAATCATATTGACAAGTAATGACTTTTATCTTAAGCTTGGGATATCAAGGTTGACAAGTTCTTTCCTACAGAGCTACGAAGTTGACAAGAAAATAAATATTTTTTTATAATTTCAACGAATTTAAACTCAAATAAAACCAATTTCAAGATACTGTTCAATACAAGCAACTCACTGCACAATATCACTAGAACCTGGACTACATTCAGTGCTTGATCTTAGAAGATATAGATGGGGGAAGAAAGTTTACCATATCCAGCACTCTTTAGCCAGATCTGGATGCAGTGTGTTCTCTTTCAATGTAATCTCAAAACCGATAACTTTTCATTGCTGAAATTTGTACAAGAAAAATGTAGAACACCAATGCAAATTGGAAGCTTCACTAGCTGCAACAAACAACAAACTACTATGTAATTACACATCATTTGAAACACATGCACACGTGTGCGCTCACTATTATAACAGTATTCCTACCTTGGTATATTTGACTGTATCATACTGTCATCCGTCCTTCCCAGAATCTTGGTCAATGCAAATTATATACATCTTTCCTAAAGTTAGCCATTGGAAGGCATTTCTGTTGGAATGCAGCGGAACACGGTTAGTAGTTATGACTAAAAACGGGCAATAGAGTACAAGTATACCACTGAATTTAGGAGAGAACTAAATTCTTACGCTTTTTAATAGCAATAAGCATAAGCTTGACATGGCAACTAACAGAGCATGATGGAGTATGATAATACTAATGACTTTGATTCTAAGTCCATGGCTACTATATAGTTTGGTCGTTGTGCTAATTACCACGCAAATAGGTTGAAAAATTGGCGCCAGAAAACACCAAACTGAACTAACACCAGTGAAAAATGCATGATGCAAATTTGTTTAATAAGATTAGACTTTTGCAGAACTGTCTTAGAATGCTGAACCACAATCAATTGTATCAGGATTTGCCCTCAAAAAATCAAAGCCACAGATAGTGTCCAGAAATCAAATAGGTAATACTATAATTCTATTGAAAGTAGCCTTAAAGAAAGCATCAGGCAAAAGTAACCATAGAGAAGCATGCATGGGGAATAAACAGATAGTGTATTGACAAGTAAGTGCAAGAATATTAGACTTAGTTGCATTTACATTCATGTAGGACACTGAAAAATAAAATATAAAAACTGCCCAAGGGCAGAAAAACAAAGAAAAAGATTCAGGAAAGTAACAACCTCTCACCCAGTTTCCAATTAATGGACATCAACAATCCTTACCACAGTCAATCCCTATGATTCATGGAGATGTGAACAACAGCAAGTAAATTTTGGAGCTTTTTTTGAATCTTGACCAAACAAATATAAGGCAAACAATACTACACATCAGAATCCAAGTCAAATACATTATTAAGTGAAAAAGGGATCACCTACCATAACAGTATTACCTGCGCCTCCAACTCAGCTATTCTCTGTAAAGATGCTTGTTAAATGCAAGCACGGCACTTGCACTCTACTTCAAGCAAGCCTACCTCAGCTCAGCCATTTCTTGTGCTAGATCCTCTGCTTCTTCCTTTGCTTTTAACTTTTGCTCTCTTAGTTCTTCCTAGTAAGTAATAACCATCTTCAAAATCAACTGTTCTTAATCTAGCAGTGGAATCTTAAAGCTATAGAGGGTGGGAATGGAGCAGACTAAATTCATATTTCACCTTGTTGGCCCCTCATCACAGTATAAAAGGTAAATGTAAGTTCTCCTAATGGCATAATTTGTACCTTACATTGCTTCACCTATAGTTCCTATTCATTTATCTGATGTGACATGATTTCAATCTGCTCCTTCAAGTTAGAATCGGATTCCACCACTAATGCCACTTCCGAAAGGAGTGCACCAAAGAGTTCTTTGCAGCCACTTCAACAGTATTATAAAAATGTTACAAAGAATTAATAAGGTAATTCATAAAAACTTTTCAGATCCTTGATAGGTACCAAAGAGAGAGAGAGAGAAATGTAGACCAGTATTTGTAAGTTATTACCTATAATTTTAAGAGACAAAACTAAATAAAGCATTTCGTACAAAGAACTGCTTCAACAAGATCCGAACCCACCTCAACAAGATTATATTTATTAGTCTACCAATTAAATATTTGCTAAATGATTTAAGGATAACTGAATCAGACAGTTTTAGAACACATATCTTTTTACAGGAATATGCTGAATAGGTTTAAGAAAAACACGTGTATAACATGTTTAATTGCTGAATAAAAGCTTCTTTTGCTGCCCACATTATCAAACTGTTAAACTATGTATTTGATCAGAAAGGATAACCGTGTAACTTTATTGGAAAAATAAAACAAAGTTTAGGTTGCAACTAACCTTGTACCTTTTGATATTGTTGTCACGCTTTCTGGTTCAATCAAGACAGAATGCATATTAAGTTGTGATCTATCCTTGCTTTTCAGCCATTCCTTGATCTTTTGACAGAATATCTTAGCATTCTTTTCAGAACAAGCTTTCCTCTTAGATATTTATTTTCGTTATCTAATGCTTCAATAATTTCCTGTGCATTCTGAAGCTAAACCTCAAGCTTTTCAACTAAAACATTCATCTCGGACCTTTCTTGAACATTTTCTTCCTCAGTTTTTGTAGCTTCAAGGCATGTCTGCTCCAAGGCCATTGTATTAAGCTTCATGCTCTCTATTTCACACTGGGACTCCAGTGCCATAGATGAAACTGACTCCTCCAATTTCTCCATCCACAAAGTGACTTTTGCAGCTCTTCTTCTTTGTTCTCTATTTCCTGCATTAGTAACGAGCGCTCAGAGTTGGACCTGTTCAATCCTCCTATCAACCGGTCAATTTTCTCCTGTAAATCTTCCATGCCTGCTAATTTGATCTCAAGGTTGTGCACATGGTCGTTTAGGCAGTTGATGTCTTCATTCCTTGCACTTAGTTGTCCTGCAAGTAATCAGAAGAATGCCATCATAAGTTTAACACCAACGCAACAGTAACTTATACTAAGTCAGTTATGCAAGACAGCATACAGACAATCATCCTACCAGTGCATACAGACTTAGTCTTTAATACATGGTCCAAAGATTACAGGGGAACCAATTTTAATAAAATATACAATGATGCCATAAATATCATAAGGGTGACCATGGAGGACAAAAGGCAATCACATTCATGGGAAGATAAAGGAAGAAAAACATATGCAAATATGTATTCAGAGAAATCATATGATATTCTGCCACAAGTGAACAACTTCCATAGACAAAAGAGTCAAATTACCGCAAGATCCAAAACCTTTCTTTTAACCTACCCTCCCTAGACTAAAAGGCTAATGAAACCCAGTACAAGACACACCAATGCTGTATTTAATAACCATGTTAAAAAAAATAAGGAATGAAAATGATTATCTCAATAAAATTTTAGAGCAAAAAAAAGCTGAAATGATAAAAATAAAGGATTGGTGACAATTTGAGTTTTTATCATATTTTTTAAATATAAATCCAATTCAAGTAAGCTAAGCCAGAAACTTAAGAGAAATAGAATTTGTTGCAACAAAGAGAAATGCACACTTTACAAGCACCATAATTATATGGAGCACGGAAGTTATTAACAAATGCCAATGAGCAACTTCCATGTAATAGGAAAGGCAATTGGGTAAAATATATGAAAGCAACAACAAATTAACACCCTCAGCAATATTTCAAAGAAAAAAGAATCATTACCTATTTCTTGAGAGCAATTTTTTAGCTCTCCTACTAATTTTTGAATATGTTTTTTGTCTTGGACACGAGCTTCCGATAATGACTTCACATGTAGTTCTAGTCTCTGCAGTGAACAAAGTTATACTTAGACAGTATGAAGATTGAAATATTTAAACCTCAATTGCTACCTTTTTGTTTGGGTTTCAGGGTTGAAATATTCAAAGGTCCGGCACATGTTTTCCTTTTATTTTTCTCAACTACAGCAATTCAATCACCAAGAAAAAGCATAGAGATCCTTCTCAATGCCAAGGCACTGTCTTCAGGGTGTTTGTTTATAAATCTTAGGAGATGGTCTAGGACTAAAAAGAAGGAAAAATTAATTGGCCCTTGGAGTTACTTTAGCAAAAGGCTAGCAAGTCAAGTCAAAATTCAATCACGCTACTAAACAAGCAGGAAAATCTAGATAGAATAATGAAAATTTAAGATGCAAAAAGTTATGTGGAGAAAACAAGATGCAAAAAGTTGTTAGTAAAAGTTCTGCACAGATGGCAATCAGCAACTTCAGCATACCCTGCTGCTTAGTGTTACCATACTTCACTATCAGCTATTTAGTTCACAATAAGGAAAAAAAAATAGTTCCAGAAACCCAATTAAGTGATACTGAACTTTTTTCCAGAGAATGGAATAATGTACTATAAAGTACCAGGGAGAAAACAACTGGCATGTCAAATTAAATGCCGATACAGGAAAAACTTTTTACGCTTCATAAATACATATCCCAGGGTTGAATTCCTTAAAAAAAAAAAAAGAAGAATATAAAGATAATTAACGTTTCACATAGCATGTTCCAGATGATAGGATTACCAAGGTATGTAAAAGTTACCCTGATTAGTTCAAAGCCCTGAGATCGCGATTCTTTCAACATCTCTTTTTCTTTCCGTAGCTGCATGTTAAAAGAAAAGTAGACAAAAATATAATTTCAGCACAAACAGATTAAAATTCATGATTGATAACAAACTAACATAATCATCACAAGCAAAAATACGGTGAATGGCTGAATAAATATAAAACAAACACCTTCAATAGCTCAAATATTTGAAGGGTCAAAACCATTTTTTCCACCAGATAACAGATTAGCTAATGAAGCTTCATTATCTAAAAAACTGAAAGAAAAGAAAAAGAGGACAGCTCAAGCTGTGGAAGCCATTTTCCTAAGCTGTTCCACTAAAACTTGACTATTACAGAAACAATAGGGAATTCATAAAAGCTTGAACAACTTACATAAGTGTTCAGACAACAAAAAGGGCTATTGGAGAATCCTGAGACTTAAAAGACCATGTTTCTTAGTAATTACAACAAGGCAAAGAATCTACCTCTCTGCATCTTGTTTCAATCTCCAAGAGTTCCCCAACATCAATAGAGTTGTCTTCATCACTGCTTGAGCTACTTGACATTTGCAATAATATCAATCAAATCTACTTATAACCCAAGTCTAAAATTTACCTGAAAATACAAAAAAGAAATTAAAAAAACACAAACCATCAGGAAATAGACAAGTAATATTGGATACTTTTACAACAGATACGTCAGAAACTCAAAAAAAAAAAAAAGAAATTTATCAATTAAAACAAACATAAACACCCAAAAAATGGAAAAAAGTTACAATGATTATAAGACTAGAAACAGAAGAACTCACCTGGATTTGATGAATTGGGTATCATAAATCAAATAAAAAAGGCCTAAAAAATCCACAAAAGGAGACGTCTTTACAAACAATGCAACTGAAAACATCAACTTGACACAACAAAGTCGATGCCAGGCCACGCCACCGGCCAGCTCACCTCATTAGGAATTATGAATTTAAATTGGAAAGTATTGAAGGTCGGGTCGGGATCCATAATTGGCAGGTAGTTTCTTGACTTTCCCAAAACCCCAACTTTCAGTTTCAATGTATATAAGAATTTGGTCCAAATCAAATAGTAATGTCCGAAATGAAATTGCTATGCAAATTGTAAGATTTTTTTTTATTAATTTAAAAGATAAATTTGTTATCATAATTAGAATCGATAATTTAAAATACAATATGTTAATATAATATGAATATAATATGAAAATAAAATACAAAAATAATATAATTTAAAATTTTAATAATAATTATATATGAGTGTAACAAAAAAAAATTTATATTTTGATATCGATTCAAATTATGACATATATTTTTTATATAAAATATAATATAAATATATAAATTTTAATATCTTATGCAATACAAATAGTTAAATATAACTGTAATAGGTATTAAAATTAGTCATTATATTTTGATTTGAATGAAATTTTTGGTTATACTTTTAATTTTTAATGATTTTTATACACATTTAATAAAAATGTTTCATTAAATATTCAATTAGTTATTTAATATTAATTTAAAATAAAATAAAAATATAATATAGATATTTCATATGTAATATATTCCTATAGTTAATTTTTGAAAAGTATTTATCTTAATATCAATTTCATAATCAATCAAATAGTAACTTCTTTTAATGTACGTGTAGAATATTCACATTCTATTTTTTTATTCAAAATTAATTTTAAATATAATAATGAAACATTTAATAGAATATTTCATTAAATCAAATTAAATATTGTGACAAATTTCAATATTCACTCATAATATTGTTAAATTTGCCCTTTAATCTTTAATTTTAATGTATTATATTCAGACAATTTATTAAAATTTTTCACTTACAATTTTTTTATTATAATCTTACAATTATTCAATCACAGTAAAAAATTATATAAAAAATATTACTTTTATATGAAATTTTGATACACCTCACATAATTCAGAATTATAATCGATTAATTGTATTATAATAATTATAAGTGATATATTTTCATAATTTATATTAATATTTTCAGACTATTTTAACAATTTTTTTTAATTTTTGTAAATTTGCATTTTATGATGTTGGATTAGTAAGCTACTCACACCCACACGGAAAAAATGTGAGTAGGAAGGTGGTTGCTTGTGGTTGCTTTCTCCATCTTTGTCAGTAATGAATTGCCTAACCACCTTAACCTAATTTTATTAATGTTGGCCAATGAAAGCTCCAACATCTACAAACAGTTCAAAGGTGTGTTTCTTTGCACCAAAAAAGTATCCATTTTAAGCAGTTGATGATGTACAGCAGGAAAAGTAGGAGTGAATGTAGACATGGATTAAGGAAACGTAGGGAGTCATAGAAATCACATGAACCAGAATAGTCAATAACTAATAGAAATTTTCCATGCGTTTTTCATCTATGTCTTTATGCAGCAGTACTCGTTTGAGGATCGGTATTCTGGCACCTGCTTGCTTCTTTACCATGGCAGCATGCTCCTGTCCAGTAAGATGATAGTTGAACACCTTCTGACTATTGCATACCACATTATACATAGTACTCTTTTCTTGGTCTCCATGTCCTCTCTGGGTGCCTGAGACTGTGCTGCCCTATTCTCTGATTTTTGTACATTAACAACACTGCTATCATTTCCTGATGGGTTGTCCACTGGTCCAATAATCAGATTTGTTGCAGGTGATGTATCAATCGAAGAAGAATCAAGAATCACAGGTGTCGTCATTAGATTTTTTCCAATATTTCCACGTTCTTCAGGTGTGTTTTCCCTGACAAGTGTTTTGCATAGATATCATTGTTGTTACAGTTGATTTTGCAGACTTTACACCATGTGGATTGATTGATCTTAATTTATTTCCTAGTTTACCAATTCATGAACCTAAGCGTTTTGTCTTCTCCCAGAACGATGTTTAGTGAATGCTTCATGGCTGTTACAAGCAACATTGCATATGGTGCACATCCGAACAGAATCAACAGCTGCCCCAGCATTCGAAAGTTTTTGCTTATTTCTCTCCAACTGCAGACCATTCGCCACACCAGGAGCCCGAAATATCATTTCTCCACCTACATTGCCCGTTTGACCCACAATGCTTATGTTATTGATAGTATTGGAAGTTTCCAGAAATATTGCAGTACTGGGATTAATTTTTACTTGCAAGTTCCTTTGATGCTTCTTTCCTATAAGGTGTTTCTCATAAACATCTTTTGTATTGCATTCAATGATGCAAACCTCACACCGCAGTGGTTGAATCAGCTTGCTTTGATTTGGTGTGCTTCCTATTACATTATTCTCCAATGATTGATTCATCCAATCATTGTTACTAAAGGAATTAAAAGCCACTACTGACAACTGCAAACCTCAAAATATATAAAGTATAAACAACCCAAATGACTAAAAGCCATTCATCTACTCTACAAACACAAATAATAAACAACCATAGCCGGATCATTGAGCAAACATAGATATTCGCGGATATCGATGCATAGTAAGCATAAATCATATTGTGGTAGCATTTTCAGGATATTTACAAACATGAAACACAAACTTCATCAATAAAAAAATTTCTGTCGCTGACAATTATAGGAATTGCAGTCAATCAAGAAACAACACAATCATTCCATGACAAGCGAAGAGATCTTACACATTTACTCAACTGTAGAGATTAAGGATAACAAATGGAATGACTGATATAGATTTTCAAAAAATGAATCTTAGTACTGATTAATGCAATTTAGAACAAAAACCAAAAGTTAAAACCAAATATCAAACAAAAAACAACACATTTCCTAGTAAAAAATCCAAAACTTACATTAATCAATCCAAGAAAAAGAAAAAAAATGCATAGGAAAAAAAGGACAAAAGAAACTTACTGTAGCATCATATCTAATGGGATCAGCCTGTCTAGTGGTCCAACTCCGAGAACCCGCATTTGGGTCCTCATAAAATTGAGCCTGCACTTCAAATTCGACATGGGTTAACGTGAACTGACCCGGACGGGCATACAGATCGGTTCCTGGAAGGAGCAAGAGTTGCCGAGAGGGAGGATTTGGTGGTTGAGGAAATGATAAGAGATAATTGGGGATAGAAGTTGAGGATTGAGGGAAATATGTGAATGAAGATTCTTGCAGTTGTTGTGATTGGAATATTTTCGTGAATTCGAAGAATTTTTCGGGTTGGGGTTTTGTTTGGGGGGGGGGGAATTCTTTCGTTGTTGCTTCCCATATTTGACCATTTTGAGATGAGGGCCCTAGTTGAACCCAATTGGTCCAATCGCCTCAATTTCACTTCCGACCATTGGGCTATCAGAAATTTCGTTGTTTAATTTATTTTTTTGAGTTAACGATGATTTTTAAATTATAATAAAATATTTAATATGATATTTGAATTTAAAAAATTTTAATATGATATTTAAATTATAAATTTATTAATTAATATAATATTTATATTTAATGTGTCAATTTTAAATAATAATATGTGATAGATAAATAATCATATAAATATCCTATTTATTAACATATTTATAATTCAAATATTATATTAAAAATTTTAAAATTCAGATACTATATTAGATATCTCACATAATTTAGAGGTTATTCATGATATTAATTTTATTTATTTTCATATTTTTTTTTCATTTTATAAAACCAGAATAATTCTAATATTTTTAATATTTTATGGCAAAAAGAAGAATACTAATTTGAAGAGTACTGCAACTGCACAAAGAGAACAACTCAAAAATTATGATGATAATATTCTTAATTAATTTATAAGAACATCGAAGTTTTTTTTTGTATAAAAAAATTATAATTTAAAAATGAGAAAATAATTATAATTATTAAAATTTAAATTTCAAATTAATTAATTATTATTTTAAAAAAATTTATATAAATTAATTGATTTAGGTAAAATTTTTTCCCCGAACCAATTTGACTTTAATAACGAAGTTTGATTTAAATCATCAAATAACCAAAGCACCAATAGCTTAAAGCTTTCAGCTTACTTAAGCTTTATTTGAATTGATAATAAAATTAATTTTGATAAAATTAAAAAAATTTATTATTATAATTATGATTGAAAAAAATTAATAAAATATTTATATTAAATAAATTTTATTAAAATTAATATTTAAATTTAATAGTAGGACAAAATTAATTACATCGCACCGAAAGCAATGGAATCAAACCTCTCCTTAGATACGCAGAAGCCTAAACTTCATAACGTGAGTAACGTCCAATAAAAAAGACCTAAAGAAAAACAAAGAAAAAGTTAAAGGAAAAAAAAAAAAAAAGAAATTCCATAGTACCATGAAGAAGTACAACAATAACTTATTCACAGATGGCATCAGGCTTCCTTGTGCTTTTCTTTTTCAATCTTCACTCACACTTTTTATTTTTTAGTTTTTGTTTTTGCTTGCTAAACCTGTCCAAATTGAATAACCTTGATGGAAGCACTTCCTCTTGGAAGGTTAACTTGAAAACCAAAACAAACTACTATTAATAAAGCTGATAAAAATACTACTATATACAAAATTTTTCTTTGGTAGAAATTATTGGTTAATTTTTTATAGATTTGATAATTCGTATATTATATTATTTATTTTGTATTTAATATCTGTAAAAGATGAAAATTATTAAATCATGACACGTTAAATATATAACATATTATTTGGTTTTTTTTTCGAGATTATGATTTTTATTAAAATTTTAAACTACATCACTTGATGTGTCTTTTTCATATTGTGTTTTGAAACTAATTGACAAAGAAGCCAGCACCAACTGCCAATGCCAGCTACTAAAAGCAAGGGAATTTGGTGCATTAGCAATGTCATTGGCCTACATCAGCACCCTGTCAATAGCTAAGACCGTTGGCTTGGTGGCCAAATGAACCTCATCTAAAAAATGAACCAATGCCTATGATCATGGTTGTGGCTTCCTACTACTTTTCTCAATTTAATTTCTGAATTGCAAAGAAAAAAAAAGCAGCAGTAATTCATGACCATTGCAGCCATGTATGTGTCAGATTAGGCCCGTAATTGGTGCAGAGTTTGAGTCAAATTAAGATTATGGAAGTTAGGGACAAGCGATTAGACCTTAATTTGTGCATCCATTAACTGAACTAAGTTGTTGAATTGAGTTAGGCTCAATTTGTCATTTGGTTTGATCAATATGGTATATCTTCAACTGATATTGCGCTTGTACTGGTTTTACCTTGCTGAACTATCTAATGACCGAACATGGAGATTTGGTCCAATCTAATCTTTCCCAGGGTTAGTCAGGAAGTTTTCTAACTGAGCTTAGCCTTTGGACTAAAGACATATAAATTAATAGAATTAGTGTACTGGCTACTACAGTTGAGATTTGATATGGTGACGGTGAGATTAAAATCAACGGGATTATACATTTTTACATCAGGACAGTGGACTGCCCTATGATCCAGTTATTCACAGGACACTTTACCTCTAGTCCCAAACTGAAGGGTAATCGTTCAGGTAATCTACAGCAACTGCACGGCGGGTGCTATCCATATGTACCCTAAGATAGCCATCAGAAAGGCCTTGGAACTGGCCCTAAGTATGAGAAAGAGAAGAGAAGTGAGATGGGTTGTCATGCTTTATGGTAGGTGACTAAACAACAATCTTTGAGCTCACATGCCATAGTTGTGTACAAATATAAAAATGCTTTTGTCTTCCCCCATGACTTCATACACCAATTCAATTTTCAACTCCTCACTCATTTCTCCTTTGGTGCCAAGAAAAAAATAATAGCCCTCAAAAACAGCTGCTTTTCATTGAAAAGTAAAGCTTGAAATATTCAATTACAGTATCCAAGTTTCTAGTCATAACAGATAAATGAGCAAGAAATTTTGCAGCTATAAAATACTTATTCTATGGCCAACAGGCCAAGAAAGCAAATTGAGAATGAATAGAGAATGTAAGAACAAACAGAAGTTAATTGAAAACTTGTAAGATTGAGGAATGCCTGAGCTGTACCTTCGGTGAATTCTTGAATCTGTAAAGAATGAATGAAATAATATGCAGAAGCTTTGTTTTTTCGTACTTTACAGCGTACACTCTTGATCTTTATTGGCAAACCATGGCGATGAAACGATCTGGAAACTCAGTTAGAAATCAACCCTACTAATGCTTCGTGCTTGTGGCTGCTTCCAACCCACCATGGCTTGAACCCCACATGAACACTGGTTTCTTCTTCAACAGGAGCAGGCAGATTAAGATCAAGAAAGTCACGAATTTCTGGAATTGGTTTTTGAATTACAATTGTTTGGTTTTCTTTTGCCTCAGCAACTAAATGAGATCTCTTGTGACCACCTAAGGCTTGGCCTGATGGGAAAACCTTGAGACAAATAGGGCACTCATGCCCTTTGCTCTTCTTAACCCCATAGCTCATCTCAGCCTTATCATCAGTGTCTGTCGCTAAGTGAGCAATGGGAGTTTCATTGCCAATTGATTTGACTGTTGGGTTGGGAGAGTTTTCAGTTTCAATGCTATTTTCACTGCTGTCAATTCTTGAAGCAAAGCAGCCATTGATTTTCTTATGGCTAGCTCTATGACCTCCTAGAGCTTGGTAAGAGTGAAAGACCTTGTTACAAGTAGTGCATTCAAACTTGCTTCTCTTACGAGGATCCTTACAGAATTCAGTGTCAAGAACATCATTTGTCAATTTGTTCACAGAACCTGATTTCAGTTCAGGATCATAAGACTCTTGTAACTTCCTCTTGCTAGAATTCAACTTATTGGAACCCAGTTGAGCTCGATCCACTCCTGTTTGTTTCACTAAATTTACTCTAATAACCCCAGTTTTTGAGAGCCCAGAAGCACAAAATTCTGGTTGTCCAGCTCCAGTTTGGAAAGTCTCAGAATCCACTGTAGCAGATTCCAACTTCTTCTCTTTCTGTTTTTTCAACTTTCTAGTCTCCTTGCCATTACGGATGGAAGCTTTAATCTCGATTTTAGCTTCCAAAAACACAGAGTTATTGCCAGAAGATTCCGCAACAGAATTCAAGCCAGCCCAATGACCCACATCTCTAGAAAGCATCACCAAGCTTAGAGCAACCTCTTCTTGTTCTTGCTCAATCTCAGACATGGAAGAGGAAACATGGTTAGTTAAAGAGAAGGTAGAAGAATTTGCAGTGCCCATGTACCTTGTTCTTCTTTCGGATCTCCTCCGTTTGCTTGGAGCTGCAGTTTCATTATCAGATTGGCTATCCATGACCAGCTTTTGGTTACCACTAGTCCAAGAATCTTGCTCCTCCAAGCTGTTATTGGAAGCTCTTTCTTTCTCTGAATGACACTTCATGTGACCAAACAATGCTTTCCAAGATTGGAAACGTTTGCCACACTCTTTGCAAACCTTGTCATGAACTGAATTGGCTTCACTTGAATCTGCTAGTCTCCATGTCTTCTTGGGGTTCTCTCTGAGGATATAACCACCATTAATCCCAGCTTCCATGCCAGTTTCAGTGTTGGCATCATTGCCAACATTATTGACAGAAACAAGCTTTTTCTTGCTGAGCTTGTCATCTGTTTCAGCTGAATTATTGTTGTTAGTCATGTGAGACCTCATATGACCACCCAAGGATCTACCACAGGGGAAGCTCTTGCTACAAAACTTGCATACATGCTTGAATTCTTGAACTTCTTCCATGGAAAAGATAATTCAAAATTCCAGAAAGAAAACACAGATCAGAAGAAAAATGTTTTTGAAACTTTAAATCTGGTCAAACAATTGGAAAAAATGCTTCAATTCTTGATCCCATTACACTTTAAAAAAGAAATGCCAATCGGTAATGAAACAGAGAACTCAAAAGACAAAAATAGTGAGACCCCAGATCAGAAAATTGAGGTAATAACTGAAATTTGATAGCACACTTGTTTAAAATGACGGATTTTACTGACTAGACAAGAAAATATCTCAGATTTCATAGAATTCTGGGGAAAGAACAAGATCTGGTAGCTCAAAACAAAGTGAACCAAAGAGCCTAACTGAATTAACTATACTACCTGCTTTTTTTTTCTCTCTTAATAAGGCTTCTTGGGGTAGTTGAAATATGAACAAAAGATCAAAACTTGGAAGAGGCGGGGGACTTTGTTGTTGTTGTTGTTGTTACCTTTGTTGCTAATGATGGCGATGAACAAAACCAAATGAGAAGAAAAAAAAGGAGTGAGCGTTTCTTTCTCTCTCTTTCTTTATTAAAACTTGATTATATTTGGAGGAGAAATCCATGCATGGAGGCAAAGATAAAGAAGAGGTAAAGGAGAGAGAGGAAAGATATGGTAGCACGTGTATTCAACTGAGAATCCTACGCCATCACCAAACATCCAATGGCTTTGATTTGTCCAGTCGAGCATCCCTATGGTTGAGGAACCTACTGAAAAAAAACTAACTGCCCCTAACTATTCTTTCCTTTGTCTTGCTATCAAGGAATAGTCAATCCCACACACACTCTCTCTCTCTCTCTCTCTCACAGACACACATAAAAACACCCCACACACCCCAGGTGAAAGCTTCCATCTCCGGCCTTTATTCTTTATAGTTTTGGTGGTGGATCCAAAGGGTGAGAAAATAAACTTAAAAAATCAAAAATCAATTTGAAATCATTGTTTGGTAAATTTTGAATTAATTTTTTATTAAATTTAAATTAAATTTGAATATTAAATATATATATATATATATTAAATTTAGATCAAATTTCGAATCACAAAATAAAAAATTAAAAAAAATCAAATCAAATCGAATTGAATTATATTTTTTAAAATTTTTATATATTTTAAAAATTTTTATAAAATAAAAAATAATAAATTTATATCAAAATTTATTTAAATATATTAAAATTTTATATTAAACAAAATATAAAAATAAAAAAATTTGATTCCATTTTACTTGGATCATACAAAAATTTCATTTAAATTTAGATATATTATGTAATATTTGAAAATTAAATGAATTCAAGTTGAATTGAATCATTATTATTTTTAATGAATTCAAATGAAAAAGTGGAATGTTTAGAAATATTTTTAAAAATAAAAAAATTATAAATTTGGAAAATTGAACTTTCATTCTTCATACTCCACGTTGAAAAAATGAGTAGAGCACCTAACCAACGCCAAGGGCATGCAAATTTCTTGTAAGTTTGGGTTACTAATGATGAGGGTTATCAGGTCATTTCAGTTTAATATAGTGTCATTTGGAGTGATCTGATTGGGTGGTGGGACTTGGGAAAAGAGTGTACTTTGGGAAGATCTCTAACAAATGAGTGTACTTTCATTCTGCAGTTGGGAGCTGGCAGATTAGTAAGTTTTTTCTTCATTTGCATCATCTTTAGGTAGGCATGATAATTCGTGTTAATTTATATAGTGTAAAATATTATATTTATATTTTATTTTATATAAAAATTTTTATTATAATTATGTTAATATAAAAATATAAAATATATTTTTTATTTTATTTAATTTATTTATATATTATAATATTATTATCTTATTGTCTCCGGACCTTTAATCTAATGGTTAAAGGTATTTAATGAGACATTAAATGTTTGATTTTAAATCAAACCTTTTTTATTTCTCTTATTTGTATTAAAATTTTATCTTCTTGATATAAAAAAAAAAAATCATTATCATACTTTAAATTTTAAATTATCATATTTATCTATAAATCACTTCAAATATTTATCATATTTATCTATCGATTGTAATTAATTAGACGTGATTCGTACAATATAAAATATTATATTTATATTATATTTTATATAAAAATTATATATTATAATTTATATTGATAATAAAAATAAAATATATATTTTTTATTTTATTAAATTTATTTATAAAATTTTTAAAATTTAAAATTATATTATTTTTATATTATCTCATTATATCATATTTTAAATTTATCAGATCTACCTATAAGTATTCCCAAAGTTTCACAAGCCAATGCCTTTTCTTTATCTCTTTGTTTCAATAATTTTATAGCACTATTTTCCTTTAGAATCAATGTAATCTTTTGCTCCTTCGAGATCCAAATATGTGCAACCAAATTTCCTAGTATGGGTCACATACAAATTTTTAACTTGAATTTGGAAAGATGTAGCTGATCTTTTGCTGTATGACTAATGGATATGAAGAGAAAAGAAAGAAATTTGGACAGCTTGTTTAGAAAGAAATTTATTTGGGCTTGAGTAGGTAATTTCGTTGAAATATCTGAATCTGACATCCTCCATTTACTAAAGCCTACAACTTGCAAGCATGGGATTTTTCTTTTTTGCCTTCTTTTTCCAAAAAAATATTGAAAAAATAAAAGTTGTTCACATTTTCCTAAGACGGTAAATTGCGAGGAAGTCTCCGAACCTTTAATTTAATAGTTAAAAACGTTTGAAGAGATATTAAAGATTTGATTTCGAATTAAATTTTTTTTTTATTTATATTAAGATTTTATCATTTTAATTTTTAAAAAAAAGTAAATTGTGAGGAAGGTATTTATCTCTAGATAATTTATACATATTGTAAAAAATATATGAAAGTAATATAATTTAAAATTTTAATAAATTATATATATATTTAATAAAAATAAAAAAAACTATTTTGCATTTAATAAGTAAGTATAAATTATGGTATAGTAATTTATATATATATATATAAAATATGAAATAAATAAATATAAATAAACAAATTATTAATGTACTTAATGTAGGTATGCATATGTTTTATCTTGCTTTCGTGTTCACTAGAGTTAACTCTATTGAATAAAAAAAAAAGCAATGTTATAAAAGGATAAGAAACAATTCTATTAGGAATTTGTGTAGTACAATACCCTTTTCTTTTCCAACACCAAATTGCAAAATCTTCCTTCGAAAGGATTTGTTTGACTGTCCTTTCACCACATTGGTAAACGCTTCTTCAAGTCACTGAAGGAATGCCTTATTCACAAGTATACATTATCCAAGGGTTATATCATTCGTTTAAATTCGAAAGTTTGCTCAAATTTAGAGAGAATTTAAATAAAAAATTAAAGATCGTTAAATGAGTTTGAATATAAATTTTAGATTCGTTTAAATTTTAAATTAAATTTTGAACAAAAACTTAAAATTTGATCTGATTCGACTCAAATTTACATCTATGTATGTAATTTTTATTTATATATATGTGTAAATTATATATAAATTAATTTACATATATATAAAAAATAAAAATTAAATATATTTTATCAAACTTAATTTTATATTTAATTTTTATTTTTAATATTTATATTTATGTAAATTGAATATAATCTTATTAAACTTATTTAATCACATTTTTTAATTTTTATTATATAAATTAAGTTCAATAAGTAGGTTTGAAAATTCTTTTAATTTAGGTTATATTTAAAAAAATTTTGAAATTTGAAATTTCAAATCGAATCAAATTTATACAAATATATAAATTATTAATATTAAAAATAAATTTGGTTCGAATTCGATTCAACTTAACTCGTAAATATCTCTATTCACAAGTCACTTGTACATATAAACGGCTTATGGAGGTCAAATATGGATAAGGCTCCGATTGAAAAACTCCCATCTTGCCAAAGGATACTTTTTATGGTTGGACTCCTTTTATGTATGAAGTGTGTTACTAATAAAGTTCTTGATATAAATTACCAAAAACAAGATGATTTAAGCATTATTAACTTATTAAAAATTTGTACAAGTTGGGGTTTAACTAGTTATGTGAAACTTAACTTGTTAGGAACATATGTTATGTAGTGTCTTTCCTATCTTTGGGATTGCTTATCCCATGAAACAGTACCCTACACACAAATTACTTAGTACAAACCTGTCTATGATTGCTTAGAGCTTTTGCATATTTTTAAAAACAGAGGATGAGTTTGGGTGATTATGCCAGCTTTAATAGAATTACTGCACCAATTCAGCCGGCTTTTCTTTTCACTAACCACAACATGAATGTCTTATTAGCAGCTGATAATCGCGTCTTGCTTGCGATAAATCCCTACTTTGGTGCCCTCTTTGCCGGCATTTTAGTGCAATGTTTAGCTGCATAAGTTGTCCGATTTTTTTTTCTTCTTTGTTGTTTATGCACTTATAGGTGAGTTAGGTGTCAAATACAAAGCGATTAGGGCAAACAAAAAAAAAGGAATAATATTATTGCCTTTTGGCACAATATATAGTATTCTAAAATTCATATGCTTGCACATTATGAATGCCTAGACATTGAGTATTTATGCACTGTAATGTTTGAGCTAATATTACTTTAACTGAATCTAGAGCCTAACTCGATTTATATAATCATTCTTAAAGAGTATCGTCTAGCAAATTTAAACCCATAATACCTGTAACTTTTTTTTTATTATTTTCAAAATGCAACTCTTTTGTAAAAAAAATATATTATTTTAATTATACTTTAAAATATAATTACTTTTACAATTATTAATCTTATCGTTATCAGTGTTTTCAATCTCATCATTTGTTTAAATGAACCCTAAACATGCATGCAAAAAAAGGTGAAAAATTATTAATTCAGATGATGCCTGCATGCTGTTAATTTGTTGATTGAACAGATTACCAACAAAAGATTAAAGATGTTGGTTTGCTTGCAAAGTTTAAAGTGAAATTATGCATACTATATATACTAATATAGAAGAAGCTTCAAAAGTGATTAATATATCAAAGAAATGTGTAGTGGTGTTTGGCATATGCTAAATGGCTAGTGGCTACTGCTTGCAGAAACTTCACTTGAGAGTCAAGAGTGTTGGCCTGCTATAGCCTGCTCTTTCAAAAGTGATATGCTCAAATTGACCAGTAGACATCTTCAAAGGAAAGATTTGGCCACTCCTTGTCTTCTGTGCATGCCTCATATATATATATGTAATATCTCTGACTAAGATAAGATGCCCTACTTTGGCTTTATGCTTAATGGAGCTCTTCTGCCTATTCAGACCATGCCTGAGTCATATGCCATAATCAAAGAACCACCATCGGTGGGACATTGACCCATAGCTGAGCCCACTAGCCCTATGCCTCTTCTGCTATCACTCCAAAATTCCAAACCCATCTTAACTTTTTTTTTTAATAGTTAAAAATTATCAAAATTTAAATTTTAATTATTAAAATTAAAAATCTAACATTCTATCAAGAGATCACATGATATGCGATTATTGGCTTTTTCCTAGATCATTTTCTAATAATTTATTTTTCTTTTTCCTCTTCATTCCTTCCTAATTTGTCACCACCCAAGAATTTATCATATCCATTGTCCACATTACCTTTATAGATGCATTACTTTTAAGAAACCAATTAAATAAATCATCTGATAACAACAAGATTGTGTCAATTGAGAGCTATGTAATAGAATTATTTTTGCATATTATGTATTTGCTGTATAGAGAAGAGAGATTAGTGAACAATATAATAAATTAATGTTCTAAGCAATAAAATACCATTACATGCAAGTTGTTATATATTATATTTATACCTTGATTCATACAGTCATATGTGATATTCAGAAGTTTAAATCTCAGTACTTATTATCTTTTTCTTTATTTTCAAATTACGACTGCTTTTATTAAAAAAAAAAAGGCAAAATCTAAGGTTGTGTAGCTATTTTCTGCGAAAATGAATTTGGTTGGATACCAAGAAAATAATGCAAATTAAAAGAAAAAATAATGCAAATTAAAAGAAAAAAATAATAAAAATGAAAAAAAAAAAAAGTTGGTTGAAGGATGCAAAAAGGAAAAGAGGTTGTGGGCATGTGGCTATACCTTCACTAGAAGAGGCAAAAGCCTGAGAGAATTGGTTTAGATGTCTTAACTTGAGTACATAAGGTTTGAGTTACATTGATTGGTGAGCTATAAGGTTCAGTCGACACTCATCACAGATTATTATTATTATTCTTATTATTATTATGATTAAAGCTTTTAAAATGATTAGAAACTAAGTTGCATATATTATAAGCATATTAAGCTTTAATCAAATCATAGGTTCAAGTCTTGCCGGTTGGGGCATTCTTTTACTCTAACTGCTTTAGTGACAAGTCAAATAACTCCCCCCACAAATAAAGAATATATTGAAAAACAAATAATAATAATAATATGGGAAAAGTGTAAAGGAGAATTTGTTGAGGAAAGGTGTTGAGAATCTTCTCCTTAGGCCTAATAAGGGATATTAATGGTTGGGTATGGATAGATAGAGCATTCCTCATATGTAGCCCCAAATTTTTATATTTTAGCTATTCTTATATTCATGTTCTACATGTATTTTAAATTTATTCTCATTTTTGTGGATATTTAACGATACGAATAATCTCCTTACTTATTATTTTTTTTTAAAAAATAAAAATAAAAATATGTATTTTTTACTTTTTTAAAAAACAGTTTTTATTTTACATATTTATATATTTTTATAAATATATTAATATATTTTAAATAAAAATATATTAGTTCTAATTAATCTATAATAATAATTTATATTATTTAATAAAAATATATTTACTAAACTTATATATGAATATATATGTAGAGTATCAAGGTATGTGGGGTGTTTTATTACCCATCCTCTGAACTAACCAATTTAAATTAATTTCATTCTTGTCGTTCTCGGTAAAAAATTGAATTTTCATTGATTTGTAAAATTGATATATTTAATTAATGAGGGTCATTTTTTTTGATCTATGAAACCTTAAGAAATTTTGATTCAAATCAAATAGATTTTTCAGTTTACTAATTCAAATTTAGTTTTCATAAGTTTGGAAGAAGGCTTTTCCAATTCAAAGTTAAGGTAAACTACAAGCCTCAAATAGAATTTATATTTGATTTACAAATCGTTTATCAAAAGAAATAGCAGACAGTGAATACACATACATATACAAATTTGTATGTATACGAGATACGTAGTTATTTATGTATATATATTCTCCTTTATGTATGACCTAATCAAATAATCATAAAAGTGCATGTGTGGCTTGAATAATATATGAGTCATAATGGTGCATATGTTAGTGAGGAAGCTGGCTCTCACCAGCAATTCTTAGGGCATACTCAATGAATTTCTCAGTTGAGAGAGTAAAATTTAGAAGCTTTGAAAGAAACTAATTAAATGTTATGTAGGACCACATCAACTATCTAACATTTTCACTCCAAAAAAAAAAAATTTTTTTTTTAGCCAATGCATTATCCCTCCAATTTAATTTGATTATTTTGTTGCTTTTTTCAATTACTACTATAAATTAGAGGTGTAATCGAGCCAAGTCGAGTTGATACAATGAGAAAGCTCGACTCATAATTCGGAATTCCATACTCCGCTTGAACTCAATCGAGTTTTATTTTTCAAGTTCGAACTCGATTCCTGATCGAATTCGAGCTACTCAAGCTCGTTCGATTAAGCTCGATTAATATATAAAAGTAAGCTCAATTCGTATACTTGACAAAAGTTTGATTATTTATGCTCGAACTCAAACTCAGACTCGAAATATTTTATTAATTAAAATAATAAAAATATATTTAAATATAAAAGTTCGATTAAGCTCGCGAGCTACTCGAATCGGATATTAGAATACTCGAATTCAACTCGATCGATAAATCGAGCTACTCGAACTCGAGCTTAACTCGATAATAATCGAACCAAATTCGAGTTTTTATCAAATCGAACCTGAATAACTTGCGAATACTAATGTATCATTTACATCCTTACTATAAACAAGTAAATAGGTTTTTTTTTTGCTTAGCTCCGTGTCTCTCTTATCCACTGCCGTTTTAGACTTTTAAGGAAAATCAAAAATCAAAGTCCATATAATTAATGATTTTTTTTCAACGAAGGGGATCGCAGTTTAAATTTCAAATCTATTAAATAAATAATTATATGAATCAATTATAATTAAAAAAAATATGATAGATGGTTATATAAAAAATGTTAGTATATAGAAGGTTGGGTCTGCATTAGATATTTCTTGCAAAATACAAGATCATACCTGGATTACTTTACACACCTTTTAGGGATGAAGCAAGTCTAATCCAATAGTTGATATTGAAAGGAAAGTAAGAAACCTCACTTTGAAAAGAAAGTGGGGTTGGAAGGTTTAGAACAGTATCCTCAAAGGGTTTTTCATACTTCTGATCACTTGCATCATATCAAATTACCACAAATGATTATTGATTAACAAAAGTATTCCCTCCATTAATCATGTTATTCCAGGTTTAATCAAGTTATTGTAATTTTTTACATCAAAGATTACATTATGAAACGTTGAAATTTAAATTTTAAATTTATTACGTGTAATTTTTTAATAATAATTATATAAATTAATTAAATTAAATTATTATATTATTGAGCTTTTCATAGTTTTGAATTCACTTAATCTATGGTTGGACTAAATCCAAGCACAACTAAAAATTTAGGCTCCTCAAACTAAAAAAAGAAAAGAAAAAAGGAAAGGATAAAAATTAACAGATTCTTCACAAAAAATGGAAAGTAGTGACTTGCATTTAATTAGAAGCTGTGCCATCAAGTATTCGGTAATGATACAGCTATCATGGGGGCGATACCATGTTACTGTTGCTATAATTTCTATTAAAAACCAAACCAAAGAGCTCAGTAATAAAATGTACCCTTTAGAACGGTGAGAGCTAGGGTAACAATGATCGGGCCGAGTCAACTTTTTTTTTTTTTTTTTGTTCTGAATTTGATTTAATTTTATATTTATAATAATTGAATTTGATCTGATTATTTTTTATTTTTTAATATTCGAACTTGATTTATTATTGTATAAAATTATATTTGATCCAATTTGATTTAAAATTAATAAAATATTATTTTTAATATATATAAAATTAAATAAATATAAAAATATATAACTATTAAATTAAATAATTAATTAAAATTTGATTTATATTTATATAAATAAGGTCGGGTTTGCTTGCTTAAAATCTTACCTTGAATTTTTTTTTTATAATTATTTGACCTGATCTGAAATTTAATTTAAAAAAAAAATACTTAAAATCGGAACTTATCAAGTATGAATTGGATTATTTTCCTTAACGAGAATCCTTTAATTATACTTTCAAATTGATTCTTACTTTATTTTTAATTACGACTAAATCTAAGTATAGATGAGTGTGACTAACATTTCGTATTAACAATTAATACAAGTTATAATGATGTTGTATAGAAATAATATATAATTTGATATCATATTTAAAATTATCAGATTTAGTAAAAATTCGAAAGTGTTAATTTACGTAATAACGTAGTTTATTATAGTTGTAATGACAAAAGCCTCTCTCAATCTATCCAAGCATGAGAAGTAGTGGTTGGTTTTGAAAGAGATCTATGAATTCAAATGAAAATGATAGAGGAAAAATAAAAGTAAATTATTCGAGTTTCTAAGGAATATATTCCAATCTGATATACGGTTGCAGCAGATTAGAAGGGTGTAATTCCACTTAACTGGACATTGATCTTTGTGGCTGCATAAAGCATTTTTCTTGACCATTATTTATAAAGATATTGCTTTGCAGTGTTACTGCAGCAGCATCTTGATATGATAGAGGGTTGAACTCTAAAAAATTTGTTTGGTACGAAAGACGAAAAGTAACGAGGATTAAAAATTTGTTAATTAATCAAACGATTAAGTCAAAAAATAAGAAAGTCTATATGAATTTGCACCATTTCATTAACAAATTTTTAGTTCTCACCTCTTTCCATCTTTCATATCAAGTAAAGCTTTCGTTATAACATCAGCAGCATCTTGATAAAATAATGGACTGGACTCCTAGTTTCAGAGATCAAAGATCAAACAACAGCATCTTGACAGAATGACAGAATGCTACTCTTTGGTTAACAGAAATCAAACTTCGACAGTCTCAAATATATGTAAAAAAAAAATTAGAGTGAAGTGACGTCCAAAATATAACTTGGAATTTAAGAAATAGTAAGAGGAATATCATCAGACAAGTTTACTGATATATATTAAAATAAAGGCAAACTAAGGGAAAACTAGAAACTAGAAATATGAAGGAAAGACCTGGCAATGTTCTTCACCTGTGTACATATGCACAGAAAGTTCAAAGTATAATAAAAATTTGCACTTGAAGGAAAAGTAATCAATGGTAAAATTTGGTATCCTTGTAACCTGTATATTTATATTTCGAAAATCAACTCATTCCAATGGGACAGAAAACTACAAAGACTCTTAGTGGAGCTTCTATTTTTATAAAAGTAAAAGATAGCACTACACTGGAAGTGCCCCCCGCCTCCCCAAAAAAAAAAAAAATGAAAACCAATCACATAAAATTCTCTATATTACAATGAAGGCAGGTTTCTATTATATGTGAGTGTACAAGGAAAAATCGAATTCTATTCATTGATGAGAATTCAATCTACGGAGGGAAAACTCCTATGTTTATCCAGACTGTAAACCTTAGATGGCAGGCGCTTTTCATACCACCATCACTGCAAAACAATTAAGACCCTTTTTTTTTTTTTTTTTAACTCTGTAATATCACGACCCATCTCCAAAAACTTCTTCAATCATACTACATGTGGGTAACAAGTCAATTTTATTTTTTTGGCAAGTTGTATATCCAGCATCCCAAACTTTAGTATCACATGGTTCCAAAACATATCCATGGCTACTACCATTGATTAGCCCATTGAAGTTACCTTGCCACTGATCGCCATTGTCAGCATTCACCTGTAGTTCTTGTGAAGCAGCCCCTGTATCAGAAGATGTGCATGAGTCATCTTGGACCTCTCGTTCCTCTTGTTCTCCTGGTGCATCCTTAAGAGTGTTCTCATGCACCTGAGCTATGGGATCAGAACCACATTTGCTAAACAACTTTCCAGAATATGTTTCTGAAACTTTGAGGACATCCACACCACTACCAAAATCAGTACTGTGATTATCACAAGTTTCATCGGCAGCATCCTCATCAAAAACACACAATCCATTTTCCAGACTCTGATGATGTGCAAAATCTTCTTGACATAGAAGTGATTCAACAACAGAGTCCTCATCTTCATCTGAGAACTCAACTTCATTGTTGTCAGAATCATCAGTCCCCTGCCATTCATCGTTATCGCTATTGATACTCATTGAATCACATCTGTTCTGCTCAGACCTCTTCCGCAGCATAAATACATTGAAGTAATAACTGACAATATCCTCTTTGGTTCGATAAGGGAAGACAGAAGCAAGGCTGTCCCAGAAATTCCTCCCCAAGGATGCTGGATTAGAGAATACAACTTGGTGGAATAGCTGTTCCTCCTCCTCGCTCCATTTCTCTGCCACTAGCTCACCCATGTCACAGAAACCAAGCTCCATAAATCTCTCATGCCCAAGAGACCGTCGAAGTTCCTCTCTTGCTTCCTGAATGTGCTGTCTGACACACCTGACAGAACCCTTGTCCTCACAACTGCAATTAGTTCTGCCACTTCCTATGTTGTCATCATATGCAGAAGACTCCAAAGCAGGCATAGGAATGATACAAGTTCCCATCAGTTCATTCTCACATCTGCCGGCAGCAGTTTCAGTTACATCACTATCATTAGAAGTGTTCCTAGCAACCTGTGAGTCCCATTCTGGAATATCAGCTTGGTAATTAGGTCCAACAAGAACTGGTTTCCTTGGAGGACATTGCAAAAGTATAGAATAGATATCTTCCAAACGAGCTAATGTCTTTACTGGGCGTTGAGGGTTAAAACATTCTCCAAATGAAGGAATGTTAAGTGGCTCATCTGGCCATGAATGCTCTTCACCGATACTATAGGTGCCCAGGGAAGAGATGGCATTACAGCCAGGAAAATTGGCTCCAAAGTCCTCAGCGTTTTCTAGGTGTTTAGTGTCAATGGTATTAGCAAGCTTCTCATCACACTTGGTATTGGCGTTTGTGAATCTGCCCTCACCTTTACCGATTACACATTACAATGCAGTAAGAAATAATTGAAAAGAACTACAAAAGGGGAGAACAAATAGATATATTTACAACTGAATCATCTAATACTTTGCTCTTATTCAAACAATCACTCTTTACAAATGGTAAAAATGCAAAGACACATGAAAATTGAAATTGATCCAGGCACATGAAATCAATGTGTGGAAATAATTTAAAAGCATAGAGAACTGAGACACAAGATTGAATAATCCATCTGAATTTAGAGGCTAAAAAGAATTCATTCAAGTTTACGATCCTGGGTCAGGATTATAGCATAGTCATCTATTTAATATTGGGCTCAATTACTATTTACATCATCATTTACAATAGACAGAGTACCAAAAATAGTTAATATCAAGTTAACATGCCCAGATCGCAGCCTAAGTGTCCCACGTGTAGTTTATTACAGGCTAGAAGTTCTGTACCTGAAACATTAGAAATCTGTGCAGCATCTTCAGGAAAAAAAGGATCTGAAGATAAAACCCGTTGGTTACTATATTCTTCTTGTCTTGATTGCTTGTATGGAGCCTTGAATGTATCCTCCTCAACAAAAGGCCGCTTATGTACCATGTTGAACTGTACCACAAAGTTGAAACTTATGAGAGAATAGTAAATCAAAAGAATTATAGACAAAATTATTCTACTGTATGTTGCACCAGGGAAACAATTACCAAAGACAGATATTCAACAGTGACAATAAAAAAACAATAGCAACAACAACAAACAACAAAAGACAAAACTTTTTCCCACCAAATACAATCAGCTACTTAAGTCAGATCATACAAGTTTATAAATGGAAATGAACAATGGGTGAAAAATAAGATTATGTTCACTAATATAAGCTTTACATGACTAATCAATGATTGTTGATGGTAGAAATAAGAACATTACAAATGTTTTACAACACCAACAAAATTCACCCAGACATATCCCTGCTCACTCTTAAGTCATATCCTACTAATCTACTTAGGACATCAAAATAATATGACCCAAAACGACATTAGAGTTGGATATGGTAAATGACTGTCATAATCAACTAACAAATCTTCAAGCGCCAAATTACATATCCAACAATAACATGTTACACATGCAAAAACAAACTAGTAATTCCAAATGTAGATGACATTACATCATAGATTATATAAATTCATGAAAAAGTTTACATGCTTTAACTGTAAACAAAGAAAAAAAATATCACTGTTGTTATTAGAATTATTTATTTATTTATTACTATGTGGGAGGTGGGGCCAGTAATTTTGGGTAAACTTTTAACAATTTGGTACTTTGGGGGAAAATGATTCTGCCCATTAAAAAGAATTACTAATTTTTATTTAAAATTTAAAAGTACGGCTCTATGATTTCGAAATCAACCAAAAAACTTATTTTAATACCTCAGAAAAAGGGCCTTCCTGCAAATGATCGATCGGATTACAATTTGGAAATTATGTCTTGATTAACGAGCAATAAAAGGATTAAGATTGTGATATTAGATGTGACTTGACTTTCCCCTAAGTCAATTAAATGAAAACAACAAAAGCCCCAATTGTCAATAAAACCTAACCCTAGATCTTGAAATTGTCAACGAAATCTACAAAATTGAAGCTGATTCAAGAATAAATAAACCTATTCCCAAAGAATTAATTCAAAAACCTCACATATCCATAGACCAAATAATCTTTTACGAATCGAAACTTAGAAATCAAATAACCCTAAAAAATCGATTTTTTGAAGAACTAATTCCAAATCAAAAACAGAAATCCAGATCCAGAAAACTCCAACCCACAAAAGGACATAGCGAATCTCAAAATCATATTTACAGATCGATAAATTATTAAAAAAAAAAGAAACCCTAAGCGCAGAAACAGATCTAAGAAACGGAAAAAAAATAAAAGTAGGATAGATCGATAGAATGAATCAAATCTGATCTTGATTTTATAATAAACAGAATAAATAGAGGTCAGATCGATCGAGAAATGATCGAGATCGAATTTGGGGATTTCGTTAATGACGAAAAGGGGTAAAAGTTAAGTCACCTTTTTTCGTAACAGAACTGTCCGAAAATTGAATGGGCTGAAAGAAGGACACGTATCTGGTGATAATTACGGGGACCGCCACTCGGATTAAGGGGAATAGAAAAGGCGTACATGTAGGATCTTTGTGTATGGGGTTTATAAGCGTTTGGCGAGCCTGGATTTTGATATGATGACCTATGGGTTAGTGACACGTGGCGTTCTAATGAGGAAAGGAACAACAACTGCCTTCAAAATTGACTTTTCGATATGATATATATAAATATAATAAAAATATAAAATATAAATGTAATGCGATATAAAATTTTAATAATAATTATTTATGAATCTAATAAAATAAAAAATATATTTTATATTTTTATATAAAATATAATATAAATATATAAATTTTAATATTTTATATATATAAATACATCATATCTAATTTTTTACATAATCAATAAATTTTTAAAAAAAATTAAAACATTTTTTAAATTTTAAATCTATCCCTAAATTTCTTATCATTATTCTTATTTTGACTAAAAAAAATATTATGTACTTAATTTTTTTGAATTAATAATTTTTAAATATTAATTTTAATAAAAGGTCAACCGATTTATAATACAAAAAATTGTTTCGAAATTGTTGATGAAAATACATGTACAATATATTGTATTCAATTTTTATTTTTTTTACATTATTTTTATGAAAATTAAAAAAAAAAAAGAAGAAAAGCTCTTTAAAAACTTTGAATTAAATGGAAATTTGTTAAATCTTAATCCAACTAAATGTTTAAAATAATTAAAGTCAATTGTTTTTTTTTTTTTTTTTAATGTTAACCTAACTAGAACAATATTTATGAAACAAGTTGAATTACTTTTTTAAACTAAAATAAAAGCTCATTAATATTAAGTGAAATGCAAGGTTGCTAGGGAAAATGAGGAAATGAAACATATTTGCTAGTTGTAATCAATAATAAAATACTTCACAAGAATCATCCTTTACCGAGAATAGCAAGCAATTGTTAAGGATGGTTAATTGGTTCAAGTGATAAAAAAATAACTTTCAAAAAAAATAATTTTTTATAAATTTATTAAACTTAATTTAAATAAACATGCTTGAATGGATAAGGAATGTACTAAATAAAGCCTAAAAACCTTTTATCACTTAAAAGTAGAAAAAAAAAAAAAGTGATTGGTTCAATTAGTTAAAACTCGTACTCTTCAATAAAAAAATTTTGAGTTTGAATTTTATTGATGATCGCTTGTTGAAATCATTTCGAATGCACGACCTGCAACTAGAATAATGAGTAACCTATTTACTTCGGATTTTTTTGTCAACCAAAAAAAGAAAGAAAGCAATTGTTTCATGTATAACTTTGTAAATTACAAGCATATAATTAGCGGTGATACAATGGTTTATATTAAATCGGATTTGATTTTTTTAAATAATATATAAAATTATAAATTTTTAAAATTTGGTGGGAATCCAAATCGAATTTTTATATAATTTGATCCTATGTTAATTGAATTTTATTGATTTAGTTCGGTTCAATTCTTTGATTTTTAATTTTTTTATATATATTATTTTAATATAATTTTTAATATATTTAAATAAATTTAAATATAAAATAATTATTTTATTTTACAAAAATTTAACATATATATAAGCTAAAAATATATATAATTTAGTTTAGTTTGATTTTTTTTTTGGTTTTTCATTTTTTGATCTGAAATTTAATTCAAATTTAATATATATTTAATATTTAAATTTAATCGAAACCAATTAAAAAAAATCAATCCAATCTAAACCGATTATTATAATTTTAAATCAATTTTCAATTTTTTTAATTTTTTTTCTTACCCCGGTATATGATATTACAAAAAGAGCTGCTATCATTTACAAAGAAATCCAACCGAATTATGCAAGAATACATTTTATCTGTCTTGTTAAGGGAGACCAATAATAAATACCAACACGATCTGCCCCAAATTGCAACCCAAGCTATTTCATGTCTGATGCTGTCAAGAAAATGAAACCTATTCCTGGCTGGTCTCAACTGGTCGACCCTTCTTCAATCTAGAAGAAGTACTAATTGAATTAAATCACCAATCAAATTTACAAATAGACACGAAACGAAATATGTAGTCCTCCAGCCAAGGGTGCAGACCTGGTTTTGCCTGCATATATCCTAGTCCTTTTACAAACTATCCATTTGTTTCAGAACAAGTATTTTATACAGCCAAGCAGTAGATATCTGCATTATGTGTTAGAAAAAGCAACAGTTGACCTTACAGTCCTTTACGTTTTTCCATTTAACATCATAAAACTTCCAGTCTTACATTTCAACAGCTCTAAAAATAGTAATTGTAGCTAAATTAATTCACAGACGATTGAGCCTTGAACATCTTGTAATGACTTAATATCCGGTTAGTTGTTTTATACAGTAACTTTGGTTTCTATCTAATTTCTATCTAATAATGGCATAAATAACTGCCATGCTTTTTGTGGGAAATTCAATCTTTTAAGTTCATGCTGATAATGCAAGGATTAATTTTCATACTGACAATGTGGGTGTCCATATTGCTTTAATGAAGGCTGGTTCTTAATATGTGTTTATAAGCAGTGTCTTTCCTTACTTACATTCAAGCTCTAGCATTTTACTGACGTGATAATATATGCTGATCAATCTGGTTCTTCTGTATCATTTAAAAGTTAAACTGAGCAGTTGTATTTACTGTTTAGGATTGTAGTTGAAGTGTCCCTAAGATTGCATTAGGGATCAAGTAGAGGGTCTTCTGGAGAGAGTTGAAATTGAACTCACATCCAGTACAAATGATTTAGAGGCTATAAAGAAGGCCATAACTTCTGGTAAGTTCACAAACATATATTGGTTGCAGCATCTTAAGGAATTTTCCCTCATTTGGCAAGGTTGCAGAAAATGGTTCTTACCAGACTGTGAAGCATCCACAGATTGTCTATATACATCCAAGCTCAGGGTTGGCACAGGTAAAGCTTATTTCCTACTAGTTATTTTTATAATTGAATTTAAAGGGATTAAATGCCAAATGTAGTGCATGATTATCATATGGCTTTTAAATTTTTTATGATCACTACAAAGCATGAGAATTGCCTTCTTATTCTGCTGTTGTATAGAGCAGTGAATGTTGCAGTGGGTGATTCTAGTGTTCATTTTATTTACTGGCTGGGGCTGATGTTGGGAGGATGTGTATTTACTTCTATCTTATTACTTGAAATTTGAAGACAAAGCAAGTAAAATCAGCAGCTGTGTTAATTTAGGCTCCATTTGTTTGATACTTTCGAAATTTGTTATTTGTTTTTTTTTTTTTAATAGAAAGCAAAAAGTAAAAGTTAAAAAAAGGAATAAAAACGAAGGGCAAATAGCAAAAGTGTCATCCAAAAGGAGCCTTAATTTGCTAATCAATCTGATGACACAAGTTAGAATACTGCAATATGGGTGGAAAACTTGTTTCTTTAGGTTTGTCATCCAGTTTGTCACTCTGATCTGAAGAAAAATTAAATTTTGCCACTAAAATGGGTTTGTCAATTCTACTTTACAGTCATTATTTCATCTGCATACAATTGACAAGTGTGCAAGCATGTCCTGGATCTTAAGCCCCTCAAAAAACATACATGCTTGTCTATTTCTCATTTTAAGGCGGGTTGCGTGTGTTCTGCTCTTGTTTTTCTTTCCTCTCCTTTCCTCAAACACTTTAAGAATGGAGGTAGAATGTTTCAATCTTACGTCGGATAGGAAAGGCAAGATTGTTGAGCTTGTAAGCGTTGGTGTTACATAGCTTAATAAGTCGATTTTGAGAGGAGGGAGTATTAACCACGTAATAAGTGATATCAAAACTAATTTTTAATTCATTCGATTCTATACGACGGAATAGATAAAGTGAATCAATTTAATCACTTAATAAAATATCATAATAAGATACGATGATAAAATTTGATCATATCAAATATTTCAAAAAAGAAATGAACAAAGTAACAACTATGACGAGATTAAATAAAGGAAAAGAGTAGGCAAAGTGACAGTCGAAAACGAAAACGTCATGAGATTAAATATGAAGAATGTCACGTCCAACCAGCTCTAAAGCAGCATATTGGATGCTTCAATCTCACATTGAATAAGAAAGGAAACGAGGTTGGACATATAAGTAAATGCATTGTACATCCCAATAAGGACCTGACAAAAAGCATGTCCCGGATCTTAAGCCTGTCAAGAAACTTACGTGCTTACGTCACACAAGCGTGTCCTGGATCTTAAGCCTGACAAAACATACATGCTTGTCCATTTCTTTTGTTTTCCTTAAGGCTGGTTGTGTGTGTTCTGCTGTTGTTTTCCTTTCCTCTCCTCCCCTCTCGGGGGTGCGGGTGGATCGAGTTTGGTGATGCCTCCAATATGAAACCAAGTCTTATGGTATTCCACACTGTTTACAAAATTTTTTGGTGTCCTCAGGAGCTCCCAGGATAGCTTGTATGCCATGAATTGGTTCTTACCACCAAGGCATATGTTAGACAGGTAAGCATTCTTCCCCTTGAAATATAAAATAACTTGTGTTGGACCTTTGCTTGGTATGTGTCCTTGACCAATGCCAAAACCTGGGAGTTCAATTGCAGGTAACTGAACTGAAACCAGAATGGTTGCTGGAAATAGCCCCTCATTACTACCAAATGAAGGATGTTGAAGATGGTATGCTCTCTCTCTCTCTCTCTCTCTCTCTCTCAGACACTCACAAAGTTCTATCATTCTATTCACTAAAGTGCACTCTGATGTTTGTTTCATCATGGTTAATGTTGGTTGAGGCCTGTAATTGATTAGCACAACACCATATTAATCTCTCCGATGTATGTAAACTTCTTGGTAATTAAATCTTATAGTAATAATTAAACTCCTCCCAGAGTTCCTTAGGTTCCTTAGGGCTCACACTTAAGCTTGATTGCTTTACACAATCACAAGAGATATAACGTTAGAAATTCTTACCATTGATCAAAAGCTATGAAACATTAAAATACAATAGTACTTACAAACTAAAATCTTAATCCTAGTTTAAATGCTGAAAACCAAATATAACTCCAAAGCTTTAATACTTGAAAA